TTTGTTCTTTGATAACTAATACCTTTTACCTCTCACACGAAGAACAACAATCTTGATTCGTCAAAAAAACTCAGATTACATCTGCTTCCCATCATACGATGAGTGGTGAAGTCGTTGGGTCATCAAGTAAGAAAGAACTCACCAACTGTGATGACTGCACCATTATTTCGAGGTTAGGAAAATTAATTAATTTTTCTGCAATCGCTTTATCAATAACACTTTTTACGTCCTTCATTAATATATTAGGTTTCAATGTCTTTAGAGGAAAACTGATTGCTACAGGTGTAAAATTCTGCAAGAAATTATAATATTTTGATAAAAAATTTTGCATATCATCAAACAGCATAACTACTGCAATTAAAAAAAAAAAGAAATCTCTAGTCATTTGCAGATTTTCAACTTGAAAACAAAAAATCAGCGTAAAGGGAAAAAATCAGGAAGCATATCATACTCTAATTCGAATTCTGGCTTGTTCAACATTCGCCAACGGTCCTGTTAATGTTACCTGCAGAAAAAAAAATTTTTTTTTAGCTATTAGCTAAATAAACTTTTATGCTCTTCACTTTCAGAAAATTGTTAAAGAAATATGCTAATTTCATTAGCTAACAGAAAATCCCAAAATATGTAATAAGATTGTAAAATATTTTCGAATTTTATGTTTGAGCAGGAACTATATGAATAAAAATTCAAAGCAAGAATTTGAAACTTTCATAATCTTTAAGTTTCATAATAAAACCTACTCTATTTACATAATCATTGGCATTTTTAGCATCAGGCGCCAAATCAGGGAACTGAATGAGTACACCAGTATCCTGCATAATTTGTGGTATTGAATCTTCATCACACCAAGCTTCCATTCGCTCTATCATGCCGGCATGTTCAGCATTTGGTATCTCGATTGTCAACGTAACATTTTTCGATAATGGAATCTTTAAAAAACGTAAATTTCAAGCATTGTTTCCTAAAACTCTAAAATTTTAGGAGAAAAAATTTTCCATCGTATAGGTTCTATTGATATTTAAACTCTAAATACGACTCAAGTTCGTTGTATGAATCGTATATAGAGACTAAACATCCGAAAACCTAAAACATTAAATCAACAAACAGGTGATGGTAAAATGTTCATAAAAAATTCTTAAATACTGGTTAACTATCTCAAATGTAGGCACTGAAATAAAAGTTGCAAATATAATACAAATTTTTAAACTGGGTACAAAATTTCATAATTTAGTAAATCTGATTATTTGTAGAAGTATCGTGTTATTCCCAAGATAAAAATGATAAGAATGGCGAGATGCCCTTTAACGAAATGTATTAATATAACATCTTTGGTTTTGCATTTTGAGAATTTTTAGTGTATAAATTTACTATATGTACCTGGCATGTTGGAAAGTTTGAAAAATAAATTTATTTTTGGTTTCTTTCACTACTTTAATGTTTTATTTGCAGTTATAATTTAAGAAGCTTCGAATATACCCGTTCCAAGTATTGCATCATGTTTCCATTTGTAGCTTTTTGCAACCGATTTGCTTCTGACTTACGACGCTGTTCATAAGCAAGTTCTACTCGTCGTTTCATGGCATCAAACATCTAAAATTGTAATTTCAAGGGTAATATAAAGCAAAAACGAATTGTGATTTACAGTTCGAATATATAGCTTTATTTTTTTTTCTTGGCTTACTCATACGCTTACGCTAGATCAACATTACTATAAGAGATTAATTGTTGCAAAAGCTATTAAGATCCAATTAAATGTAATGGTCTAAATAAGAAATGGTGAAAGTCTTGAAGTGAAATTTCAATCTTCAAATTTCCTAACATTTAATTGTCAAAAATTCATGGTCTATGACATCTGTAAACTTCACTTTTCTATATTATGTCTTTGAATGAAGTAAAATTTTAGGCTTGTTTCTGTGAAAAATTTTTCTTAAATCTTTTTATCACCGAAGTAAAAATTTCCTCCTCCCTTTTCGAGGCTTTACTAAATTAGAAAATCTCTTACCTTGGCGCTTTCTTGTGAACGATGATAAAAACTGACAAAAAATTCACTACGTGGCTGCCGAAACATGTCCCGCTGTGGGAAATGAGCATTTGGATATCTGGGATTTGCTCGTGGTGTAAAACCACCGCGAAGAGCCCAATAGCCCGCGACTGGCATACTCAGCGATGGAATACACTCACACATCCAATTCAAATTACTCGCTTGATGTATATGTTCTTTTAGAATTAAACTGAAATTTAGAAAAAGAAAGTGGATAATCAATATAATAATTTAATTGATAAACTCACACATTAAATGAATCCCTCAATTACTTTCATAATACTATTACCGAAGTCGAATTCTCACTCTTTATCATTTCCAATTTTTGGAGCAATGAAAGAGGAAGATTAGAAAGAATTTATTTAAAAATATTTACTTGAAAATTAAGGCTAAAGCTCTCTTACTCTTCCTTGTTTCAGTTCATTTCGTGTAATAAAGTGCAGAAATTGATAAAGAATTTTTGAAATCAATTTTGAATTTCAAAAGAATTTATTTAAAATATAATAATTTAATTGATAAAGAATTTATTTAAATTTACAGATTTCAATGAATAGATAGTGCATAACTGAAACGGATAGAATAAAAGGGAATAAAGTAACAGTTTAGCACTGTGAGCTCTTTATATGATATCTACAAGGGGTTTATTTGATGTGTGCATCTGCACGCTGCACTGAACTATCGGATGATAAAAGTAGGCAAAATGCATTATTTCTTTAAAGAAACTTATGCAAAACTCTATTTTAAATCTACATTTAATAGCTTATAGATTTTAAAACTCCAAAATTTTAATTTTCATTTTAATTATTCTTAAAAGATAAGAAGTGAAAAGAAACAAAAATGTATTTTGTGAATAATATTTAAATGATTGAAGAATGGCATAATCTTATAAGTGAAATATTAAACAAATAAAATGTACACATTTTATAGCAGTTTTTAGGAATAATTTTATTTAAATGTAAACTTTAATAGTGTAACGTAACGTGAATGTCACTTTTCAATTCTTACGTCTACTAATGAATCATAAACGTTACGCTAATCATTTCTATTCTTTCACAGTAATTATTGGTAATTACAATAATTTATTTTGATAATAGTAGAAATCCTAAAATATTTCAAAAACTTTTGTCTAATATTCAGTATGCAAGTGACAGTTTTATTGTCATTTGCTTTAATCGCAACAATCAAAATTTAATTTCGATTTCATCCAATCCAATGCAATAATTCATTTCAGATTCACTTCATTCCTTTTATCTCATTTCATTTATTTTCAAATTCACTCATAGATTTACATTTCTAAGAGAATCAACTAACAAATCAACCGTCTCATCCTGAAAATATTGTTTGCAAGCGCTTAATTCATATTCTTATTTTCTTATTTCCGGATCCATTTTTTTTCCTCCTCTTCACTTCTCATAATCGTCCGAATTTCACAGTACTCTACACCGTTTCAAGTAGAGGAAAACAAAATCACACCAAGCTACCAACTTCAGAATCCCACCTTTCCCGCCCTCACAAACCCGCCAAATTACCCTGCCCTGCTGCTTGCCCTAATTTAACCTCCTGCACCCCTATTTCACGCATGATATATGCAAATTATGGAGATCAATCATGTCTTATGATCCTAAATCAGTGTTTATCTAAGAGCAATCCATCAGGTAATTTTCTCAGTTTCTTTTTATGATTATTCTTTCTCCATTTTTGCACACAGAATTTAATTTACGTCAAATTTTACATTCAAAACAGCAGGTATTAATTTTAATTTGTTTTAAATTTTGCATTATATTTATGACATTTGAAAAAAAAAAAAGTTATATAATAATAAATGAGCACAGATTATTTTCTTTTTTATTAATTTTGTTACTTAGTTTGATTTCATTTAAACCATTAAAGGTAGCACTTTTATTATTGGAAATCAATGATGTCACTTGATAGTGTCATTAGCTAATATTAGAAATTATGCAATTAGTGAAAACTTTTGGAATTTTCTCGGCTTAAATAAAATTTATATGAAAGCAATGAAATTTAGATTAAAATATTCAGATTATATGCAAACTTTACTTTCTACTATATTAAAAACGAAAGTGTAAATTCGCTAAACGATGTAATTTCAAATAGTTTATTTTAAATTATTTTACCATACATGTTACTTGATAATATACTAGCTAATCTATTTAAAAAAAAAAAAAAAAAATTCATATAAAATTTCAAAAAATCACCTTTTCCATATTTTTTCTCATATTTTTTTTCTTCTTTCCTTTCTATTAGAATCCATCAAGATTGAATCTACTGATAAAAGTGAAGTGATAAAGAAACAATCAACTAACCCTGTGATACTCAAATGATAATTCCTCGCAGTGACATCACAATTAAACCGCTCACACTTATTGATAACAGAACTATGATCAATAACAAATACTTCTGCCATATGTTTTATAGTAATTTGCATATTGACTGTATAAATTGATGATATCATTTACTTTTATCTCATTTGTCTGTAAGTTCAGTTAGAGCGGGGCGCAGTTTGTCCTCTTATCAAACGTATATGAAATGAATTTTATTCTGTAACCCATACAATATTATCTTTTAAATAGTCTTACCATAGATATTTCATAAATTTGAGCAATTTTAAGGTTAACATTTTTCATATATTTTATTTGATTACATCAAAATAAAGGATTGGTTTCTGGAGTTATATTAAAATTTTTTTAAAAGGTTACCTTTAGGGGTAATCAAAAAACAATAATAAGTGCTGTCCAGATGAATTTATATTTCATCTGAAATTTATGTTAAACTTTAAACTATTTCTAAAATCAGTTTTTCCAAAATTTTTCGTTTCTTTCTTTTTTTTTTTTTTTTTTCAAAAAAGAGTATGCAATTTCTGTAATTTCAGTAATTTAAGTTCAGTAATTGTCACAGGCATAATTAGAGCTAATTATTTTAGTCCTTGTAATTATCATATTTAACTATCACATATCATCTGATAATCATCATTGGAACTGGTCGAATTGTCATTAATTTGATATTTTGCTAATTGTGTTTCTAAGTATTCAATTCTTGCTAGCAATTTCGTCTTCACACTGCTGAATTCTGCTGCAAATCGAGCCATTCTATAAAAATTCTCATATTTTATCATTTATTTAATTTGTGAATTTCTGATAAAAAAATTAATTAACTTTCATCCTCTTATCATTCTCATTATCTTTCATTTTTCATTTCTAACTATATTTCTTTTCTCATTTCTCCAAATTTTTATCATATTTTTCGTAATTATTATTTATTATTGTTAAAAAATTATTTCACAAATTTAAAATTTGTCAAAAAAAGAAACACCGACTATTTTTTTTTTTAAATTTAACGTGTGATTTAAATTGGAAAATATTTAAAGTATTCTATAATAGTACTTGGTTTGCATAATTTTCAACGTATTTTGCAAATTTTTAGCCATCTCCTCAGCAGTCATTTGTTCTTCTGGTGCATCTTCATCCAGTAGACCATCTTTTCGAAGAATTTCTCGACCCTAAATTGTTTACCATTACATGATTCTTAAATCTTTGTAGTAGACATCTAAATTTTCCTGTCAATTATTTGTTAGTAAGGATAAATGTATAGTTGGATGCGTCGATTATACATCAAATATCTCTAATGAGGCATAAAATATTGTCCATCAAAAATTAAACTAGCAGAATTATGGATAACATTAAAATATTATCAGAATTAATCAAATAAAAGTTAAACTAATATCAAACCAAAAATTAAAATCATATTAGCATAAAGTGCTAATCAAAATAAAAAAATTTCCGGAAACCTTTGCAATCAGTAACTTCCTTGCATCCGGATATTCTTTTAATGCAGTCCAAAGATCATTTTTATTTAATGCAAATAAATCCGTGTAACCAACCGATCGTACATTTGCTGTTCTTCGATTACCATTTTTACTTCCTAAATAAAATTGAAATTCAATTTTTTGCTTCTATTTATTTCTTCAACATCATAAATCATTTGTTCATTTTCAAAATACGCTAAATTATTTAACTAATGTATGCATTCTATGTTTTTAAAGAAAAAATTCATAGTGCATAAATTAATTGGCTAATAATTAATGACAGAAGAAATTAATAAAAAAAAAAAAATGCTTCAAATTGATTTATTAGAATTATATTTGATTCTGAAATCATAATTATATCATAACTGAATAATAATAATATGACAATAATGATAATAAACGATGATAATAATAACTTTTATAAATCTAACCAGCAATATTAAGTATGCTAAGTTCACCAAAAACAGCTCCTTCCTGTAATGTTGCAAAGACTTTAATTCCGTCATCAGCTACAACTTGCAATTTACCACGCTTAACAATGTACATTTCACGTCCAATATCACCTTTCTTACATATGTAATCACCAGGTGAAAATATCTAAAAAAAAGAAAATATCTTCTTTTTACGTGAATGTGAACAAATATCGTTTTTATTTTAATGTATTTTTGCATATATTTTTCCTTATTACATTCAGAATTTCTTTAAGCATTTTTTTGTTTTGAAATATTTTTGAAAATTCGAAAATTAATAAATTAGGTGCTATTATGATCGTACCTGTTGCTGAAGTTTTAGTACTAATTCAGCTAAAAGACCAGCTTCACAATCCTAAAATTTTATAATTTAATTTCCATTCATTGATTTTTATTCAATATTTATTTATTTGTGATTTGAGAATTATTTAATGGATCAATTTGTTGCATTGCAGTTTTTTTTTTTTTTTTTTTTTGAATTTTAAAAATCTTTAACAATAATTTGCTAAATTGAACCACTTAAAAACAAAGAAAAATGCTTTACCTGAAAAATGCGTACTCTTCTAAGAGTTTCATAATGCACTTGCATAGCAATTTCTGTTTGCAATTTATCCGGAAGTACTTTTAATACACGTTGATCACTTAGTGATTGCTTATGTTCCCATAAATAATCAAACCATTTCATAACTCTCGTTTCAAGCTAAACAAATTTTCATTTCATTCCATACGATCGGTTTCAATTTCATCCAATCATTTAGAATTCAATTCTGATCAGATCGATTACTTTTCAACAAATGTGTTCATCTATTAACATTAGCCATCATTGAATTCTACTAAGTGTTATTTATGTTAGATTAAAATAATTTTTATTTAATAATTTAAATTAACATCATTGTAAGAAATTTTTTAACATTCAATCGTTTTACACCAAAAAATTTAGAAAGGAAATAATTCAGTAATTAATTTACTTACCTCTTTGTTTACTTTTCTCAACTTCATATACTGTTTAATGCCATCCATTTTATTTTGAAATTTTGTTCTTGCTAAGCTCATATTTGATATTGCACTATAAAAAGAAATAAAACTTGCTTTTTTGTTGCAATTTATCTTTAATTGTTATGTTTGTTTCATTTGAATGATTAAATCAAAAAAAGATTTGAATTAAATTTGATCGATCGATTGTTCATCAACTACTTTATAATGCATGCATAGATAGATCAGTTCAGTTATTTGTTCTCTTTCTTGATTAATTATTATGACTGTTATCAATTATCATTAATTAGGAATAAAATTGAAGAAAAAGAAAAAAAAAAGATTTCGAAACTTTTGTTATGTTTTCTAAAATTTTCAATTTATTAAAATTTCATTTAATTATTCTTAAAATAATTAAATTACTATTCTATTATACCTGCCAACATTACCGACTATAGTAGCAAAAATGAGTACACCGCACATTAAATCCATAATTACAAAGAGAAATTCAATATTTCTCTTTGGACTTGGCACTTCACCGATTGTTGTTAGAATTAGCGTTGACCAATAAAAGCTATAAATATAGCGCCTGACAAGAGTATCTTCTACACCACTAAAAATTGAAAGAATATTAATAATGATTAGTTTAAGTTTTAAAGGATAAAGGATATCAAACTGATAAGCATGAAATTTTAATTTAACAAATGATAATATTTCAATCGATATTAAATTATCAAAGCATAATTATTAATAATTAAGAAAATTTGATATTTATGAGAGTTTTTGATGCACCTAAGTCTTAGTATTTATTCAGGTAAATTAATTAGGAAAATTTGATATTTATGAGAGTTTTTGATACATTTAAATTTTAGTACTTACTCAGATAAATTAATTAAGAAAATTTAATATTTATGAGAGTTTTTGATACATTTAAATTTTAGTACTTACTCAAATAAATTAATTAAGAAAATTTAATATTTATGAGAGTTTTTGATACATTTAAATTTTAGTACTTACTCAGATAAATTAATTAAGAAAATTTGATATTTATGAGAGTTTTTGATACATTTAAATTTTAGTACTTACTCAGGTAAACTTTGCTTATTAAGTGGTCCATAGACCCAACCATCTGAGCCAAGGCCAATCATTTCACTTATAAAGAAGTATATACAAGCATTCCAATGAATTATTACAATAATATTAACAATAACACAAAATATACGAAATGCATTTGGCATCGAACTCCTGCAAAATTTTACATTCCATTTGCTCAATTTTGTAAATAAAATAAAAATGAAGTTTAAAAGTGAGATTTAAATTAAAAATATAACATATGATTGTAATTCTTGGTAGTGTAATAATTGTTTAAAATAATCCATTAATATCTTAGTATCCTTGAAATTTAATAAATGATTAATTCATTTTGCTATTAAACGAATTATTTTAATATGAACTTAAAAATATCAAAGATAATATCAGTTATTCGTTGAAAAATATATGACTAAACTGTAAATATAATTGTTATTAACAAAACGATAAACCTTGTCTCAGTGCGATCAACAAAATCCGAAAAGCGTGGATAACGAATGATACGATTGAAACGTAAATAGGGTATTGATCGTTGAAATATAAATGATAAGATAAGATCAAATGGAAGAACACTAATTATATCCAATTTAAATTGTAATGATTTCAAATAAAGTTTGCTAATGCGTGAAATATCTCGAACAAGTAATCCTTGTTCCAGGAAACCTTAATATACTTTTTATTTCAAAGCGATACTTACTTATACTTCTTAAACTGATTTGTAAGTTAAGAAAACTTTGACCAAAAAATATTATTAATTTTAAAATATTATTAATTTACCTGTTCTAGAACGTACAAACATATCAAGCACATAAGTAATATCCATAATAAAGTCGACTAATAGCCAAGCAATCCAATAATATCCATAAGCCAAATCATTAAAAACTGATCGAGCTTAATAATAATAATAAATATAGATTAATTAATTTAAAACATAAATAGTTCAAAATTAAAATTTTAGCCTATTCTGACTTTATTTTCACTCATAAAATGCATAAAGTTTTGAATAATTCTATTATATATTTATAAACATTTTCATCCTATTAATTCTTAAATTTACATCTCAGTTAATAAATGTAAATAAAGAAGAAAAAATTCTAATAACAATAATAAACAAAGGAGAAAAAAAAGTTTACCAATAACAACGATTAAATTATATGTAAATGCGCATGATACTATACTTAACCAATAATAATAAAATTCATCTTTTGTATCTAAAACCCATTTGTTTAGTAAATATTGCCATTTTGTCTCGTGAGTTGTTGCTGATGGCGCTTCTGTCGCAGGTTGTTTTGAAGTAAGTGAAGTAGGTGCAGAAGTCTCAATTAATGATTGCTTAGCTTTTTCACAACTTTTATTCGAATCTATTGAATTCAGTTGTGGCGTATTTGTTACAGTTGATGGAGCTTGATTTTCTTCCTCATTTATATTGCATATTTTATTTGATCGTAATGATTTATGCCTCTGTAATCATTTAAAATTTGAATTTATTTGATATTTAAAATTAATTCATATGAATTGATATAATATAATTTGGACATTGATAAAAAAATTTGTACTAATTGGCTTTTTACTTTCTTTTTTTTTTTTCTAAAATGAAATTGAATATGAATATTAATAATAAAAAATAGAATAGTAAATTGAATTTGAATTGATCAAACGTTTATAAACGTACCTTTTGAAATGAATCATTATTTGAAATATTTTTCATAGCTGAAGCATTTGGCAAATTTTCCCTTTTTTTCAAATGATTTTCATAAGTATCATCATGACTTTTAGAGAACATTTTGCATGATAATTTCTGAAGTATCTTTTTTTCAGTAAAGTATTTGAGTAACAAATTAATAACCGATTATTCAGTAATATATTTGAGTAACAAATTAATAACTGATTCTTTTTTCAAATAAAATTTAAAAATCGCCTTAACAAATGGATTAATAAAAAAAAAAATCATCCAGAAAATTGTTGTATTCTTCCAGAAAATTGTTGTATTGGAAATATTCTTCCGGAATATTTAAATATTTAAAAACAACAAGTAAGATGGATTAATTTGTCTACTTAAATCGAACAAAAATTATACAATTAGTTATTTTCAGTTATTAATAAAATATCAAATGAAAGTAAAAGTAAAAACATTTGTGATTAACTGTGTGGTAATTTTTCAAAGTAATTAACAAAATAATTTAAAAAAAAATTATCTGCCATTTTAAAATTAGATATAAAAATTGTATCGAATGGATTTATAAATATTATTATTGAAAATATGATATGTCTATAATTTAACAACAAATTTTCATTTTTAAAACATAAATTTCAGAAAAGCTACGAGAAAAAAAAAAATGAACCTTTAATTGTTAATTATTCAATGTTCGTTCATTGAATCCAAAATTTTGACGTAATCTTTGAGTGTATAATAACTTTGAAGAAAAATGATTAATAATTGCATTGGATAAGTTTGAAAAAGCAGCGTTTTCTTCTCTATCAACCAACTAATCATTCTTATCACCAATGATAACAATTTACAAAACTTTGAAATTTTAATATCTGAAAAAATGAAATTTTTCTATTTCTTAGATTGACTCAACAAATATTACTTTCAAATACTAAAAACAAATACAACAAATACTACTTTTTTTTTTGATCAAATGATTATTCATTGTGAAAATATTTGTGAAAATATCATTTGAAAGTAAATAAGCAATAAAATAATAAAAGTAATAAAATAAAATGTTTTATGAAAACAATAACAATCGATTGTTATGTATTTAAGCACTCAGACACTTCTGCTTTATGAAATTGCCTATGAAAAGTTTTAATTTAAACTTTAGAGCAATTTAACTTTAACTCAAACTTAGTCTAACCGTTTTGTAACTATTGCTTCATTTATTACCTTTTCTTACTTATTTCAATATTATATCACAATTGGAGTTAGATTTTGAAAGTTGTTAACTTAATTCGAAAATTTTCTTACCAATTAATTTGCAAACGTATTATTAATTTGCATTTGCTCCAAACAAAACAGAATCATATTTAATTAAACAAATAAAAAGAAGAGAAAAAATGCACAAATTTAAAATAGAAATTAATAAAATTTCGATTCAATTTTTACAAAAATTGAAGTAACCAAACTTTTTTTTTTAAAAAAAAAAGTGACATTTGTTAGAACTAAGATAACTTCTAATAACAACAAGTGTACAAACAAATGTCGTGTAATTTGAAGATGAAACCCTCATCCTTTAGGTCACCTTGACAACCAGCAAAGTCTCATCATCCCATATCATTCGAAATAATTTTTCTAAATCAAAGTGTAATTAATCATCGTTGACTTTTACAAAAATTGAAGTAACCAAACTTTTTTTTTTTAAAATTATTTTTTTTTTTTTTTTAGAAAGAATGCTTTCTATTTATAACTTTCAGTGTAACATTTTTCTCGAGAAATGAAACTGTAGCGTTATTAGTTGAAAAATTTTTATTCAAAAATTAAGTAATATTAAATATTATAGCATTTTATATGCCATAATCAAATTCTTAAAGAGTTCCTAAATTTTAATCAAAATTAAGTTTGTTGTTATATCTTTTTATTCTTTATTGTAAATTGACTTATGGATTAATTGTCTTCTTGAAAAGTATTATTTTGTACAATGTTCAAATAATTCAAATTTTGATGAAATTCTTTTCTTTTTTTTTTTTATTCACAACTCATATAAACTTGACATGATAAAAAAAGAAAAAAAAGGAAAGTACAAAAGACATAAATTCAGTAGTGCATACAATTTTCATAATTTCAGAATGTTTTTCATTGTTCAAAAGTTTAAATTTTAAAAAATTTACAAAGAAAAGATATAAAAAAAATTTTTGATATGCTTTTGGGAATAAAATTTAAATTTGACATAATTATGGTTGAGTAGGACAAGAACATATTCCAGTATTGCATGGTAGTCCAAAACACGAAGTGGAATTTGGGATGCATTCTTTTCGATTGCATATTTTGAATAATGCATCAAAGATACCCTTTAAGCCAGCACATTTAAAACCTAAAATTTAGAAAGCTTTTTTGATTGATTTATATGGATGATAGATAGAGAATGATAAGTGATAACAAAAGAATTAAAAGTATTTTAAAAAAAATTAGTAAATTATTTTCAAAAAATTCACTATTAAATGATATATTCAATCAAAAGCTAAAATGAAAAAAATAAAATAAAAAATTAACCTTTGTCACAGTCACAATATTTTTGATTGCTGCATGCACCTCTTAAGCCACCACAATCTGCATCAGATTTGCATGGTGTAAATTGCAAGCATGCAGCACAGTTGCATGTACCAACTGCAATACCAAAACATTTTCCTGCAAAAAAAAAAAAATAGTAAACAATAGGTTCATAGAAGTTGTTTATTTTTTTTAACTTCTGTGAATCTATGATAAGTTCTGAAGCTAATATTATTTTTGGAAGATATAATTGAATTGAATAGGAGAAGAGAAATTGAATTATAATTTTTAATTTAGGAAAACATTAAATTTTAAGGAAGCAAATTTTAAAAGTTATATTGCTCTAATGCAATAAACTCTTAGAATTTATGCTTTTGCATAGTTTCATATTGGAATTTTTTTTAATTTGAAATGAAAACTAATACATTTTGATTCAAAAAAAAAAAAAAAAATAAGATCATACCGCCATTGCAGTCCAAATCAATTGAGCAATTTTTCATTGGTATACAGGGTGACACAATAGGTTTACGTTCTTTCTCCTCTTTTAGTACACGTAATGTTCGTGTCCAATTATTGAAATCTAAAAATAGAAACGAAAGAAAAAAGTTAATTAGAAGTAATTTAATGTCAATTTTAGGATTTAACAAGTAGTAAATACCTGAATTTCAATTACAGTTATTATAATCTGAAATGAACGAACGAAATTTGGTAAGATTGTTTGCTTTCTATTAATTAATATTGCATACATATGAACTAAACAAGTATAAAAAAAGAAATATAAATTAGATAGCAAAGTGAGAAGGAAAAAAGAAAATAGAAAAAAAAAAAAAGGAAAAAGAAAATAAATATATAATGACAATTGAAATGATAAATTATACTATTAGACTATTTCATAAATTATTTTAGATATATTCAAATGGTAACAAAGGTACCTAAGGTATCAGCGGAAAAAAATGAAGATTCTTCCTCGGTACTAACACCATAAGCCACAGCAAGTAATGCAGCACTGAGAAATATTGTTCCAATGGTACCAAACATTATTCTTCTTAAAGAATATTTGTCACAGATATTTGTTAAGTCTGCAATTTCACTTTTCTGATAACTCAGAACAAAATAATTTAAACAGTTGTATATTGGTTTAATTCCGGGAAACAATTTATGTTACGAATTTATAAAATCATTTTTGATACGCTAATTAACCTATCAGATTCTATTCTTTCCTTTTTTTTTTTTTTGATAATTTTTTGATTTATTTTAAAATCTTAATCGTATTGTCTTATTCATTCTGACATTTTCCGACTGTTATTATTATAACTAATTGACAATACAATGATTTTTATGTTTATTATTTGCAAAGAAAGTAAAAGGAATAATATTAGTAATTGAATAATTAAATCAATATTGATCAATTTCTAGTAAGTATTCATTAATTTTCCTCAAATTCCCACAAACTTATTTCAAATTTAATTTATCGATTGAAAATATACATTTAATAATTTATAGAAATGTAAACATATCAAAGCATAAAAAGTAAGAAAAGTAATTTATAATAGAATAATCAACAATGATTATTAACTATTAATAAAGTAATTGAGATTTCTCAATCTAATCAAATCATGATCTTGCTCTTCCAACCCGCTCTATCATTTAACTTTCTGGAAAAATAAGATTTTAATAATTATCCAATTTTTTGTTTGTTTCTTTTTTGTTTTTCTTTTTTTTGTTTGTTTATTTATTTTTGTTCTTTTTTGTTTCTTTTTTTTTGTCTTTCTTTTTTGTTTGTTTGTTTGTTTATATTTCTAAACATATTTTTCCTATTGATAAACAAACTTTTCGATGAGAAATTATACATCAGAAATGTATTCTTTTTAATGATATCTATTCAATTACTGAAAATAGTTTATTTACCTAAAATGTTGGACATTTTAATTAATAATATCAAAACAGGAAATTCTTACAGAAAATAAAACTTATTAGATAGTTCTCATCAAATTAATTTCGCTTTACGAATTTCTTCTCTTATTAACAGTTAGTCATCAACTGATAAGAGAAAATTAAATGTTATACAAGCGAAAGCTAAGATATAAGGATAATATTAACGATGAGAAATTAATCATTCATATTAACTGGAATTAATAGATCATTTTACTTCTTTACTTTTTACAAAATCAAAATAACGTTTCCGCATACTTGTAGCAGAAATTTTCAGTAAAAAAATTAAAAAAGTCAATAAGCAAAAAATAAATTTAAATTTAACGCTCAAAATAAGTGTTTTAAATAATACTTTTTATATATTTATAGTTTTTTTTTAATATATATGTAGTTTTTTTTTTTTCTTAAATAATCCTGTTTACACATTTATAGTTAAGTCATATTTAATTCTTAAAATAATTATAATTCCTTCAGACTTTTTAACTTAATTAATCCACTTGATATCACAAAAGATCACCAAACAATTCATTTAATTTATTGTAGCATTATAATACCAAAAATATATTCTGCAATAAATATAAAAGTGTTTTCAGTTAATTATAGAAATACTTCATAGAAGAAAAACACATGTTGCATCATTAACTTCTAACTAATTAAAGGTAATACAAATGTTTACATTCTAACTAATTAAAGGTAATGCAAATGTTTACCTTTACATATCTAATACTGATGGTAATAAAAAAAGAAATTTCATAATTTAAACTAATAGGAAATACTTCCTTGTCAAAATTCACTGTAACTTTTAGCTTTATCGATGCTTATCATCCTCTAGCGATTTTCATAGTTTTTGTTTGTTTCATGGATTTCCTGTTTATTTTGAAATAATAATATTTTTGGAAGTATTGCAGGAAGAATTAGACTATAAGAAATAATCTCTAAGATTAGAACCATAACATTCTCCATAATTATTTATAGTTTTATGTAAAAAACTTTATTACTAATGTCGTCTTAGTCTGCTTCTAATGCTCCATTGATCCTTTCCATAGAATTCGTTGAAATCCCATATCTAATTTATAATCATCCATTTGTGCTTGAACAAATAATTTTATTCCCTTATAGCATTTTTTTTTCTCTAAACTTGCTAATTCTTTTCAACTTCTTCATGTTATAGAACGTGAACTTTGGACTGAAAGTAAACAATTAAAAAAGCGTACCTAGCTTGAGGCCTTCCGTGAATTGAATTTTAACTAAAAGTGAGACCCCCAAACAAAAAATCGATCATTTAACCAAATTACAAACCTTTCGGGCTCATAACCCGAGTAAAGAAAAACAGCTCCAAGGTGAAAGTTCACTACGTCAACTCTCATAATAGCCCTTCAGCTTTTCATTTGTATTCCTGTTGTAACTCTTTCCTATTTCAGATTCTTCATTAACGCATACGTCTGTGACTTAGGAACAAGTCCGTCTAAATATCAGATAACATGCTTTTGTGGACAAACATACCCTCACCCTCCCTATATATAAGCTTTCAACGTCACAGATTATGGTCACAAAACTTGCTGCCCCATAGTCTCATATCTCATCAACAGCTAATCTTGGCGAAAAGCTTATGCATAAAATGTATTTCAAACAGACCACACAAATTAGTGATGTAACACAGAGGAATTAATCGAAATTCAAGAAAATCCTCGCAAATGTGGCGGACTAATTATTCAAGAAAACTAACTTCACAGCTCTTTCAAAAAACTTTTTGGCCAAATAAGGACAACTTGGTTTATTTGTATCTGCAAATTTTTGAACAATAAACGAATATTTAACAATTACAGATACACTTCTATGTTCTTCAATAAGGGGGTATTTGTGGCATCTGACCCGGCATCGGTTGTAACAAATCCTTCTTTTCTTGTTTATGTTCTGATTCTGGATGCAGTGGATTCGGTGCTTCATTCGGTTCTTGGATATGAATCTGGTCAGGCAATGCAATACGTGGTCCCATATTTCCTTTAGGGTCGTGTGGCAGCATTATTTTCACTTTGATACCCAAAACACCTAAAGAAACATGTTTACACTGTTTGTTCAATTTAAATGTTAACTGAATAATATTCACTGGAATTTCCAACTTTCCACATTGATCTAGCATCCACACTTTAAACACATCACTGTGTTCCAGAACCTTGTTTTATGGGTAATAAAACCTCTTGTTAAAGCAATCTTTCAGATAAAATGTAAAAATGCCAAACACCAATAACTGTAAACCTTGACGGAGTTGAACGTGACGTACTGCCTGTTGGATGTAATCGTTTACCGGTTGACCAGAATGAATCATCAATCCATCAACAAATTTCATCGATTTAGCTCGCTGACCGCGCAGCTTTCCGGATACAATTACCTAAAAAAGCAGAGAGTTATGTAAAGGCTTAAACACCCCCTACTGAGAGACTACATTCTCAGTGTGTTAATCTGCGGTTCTTAATAATTCAAAACCTACCATGCTCCTTGTTTGAGTGAAATAAGAGAGCTCAGCCAATAACCAGAATCATTGCATACTCAGAGAGATATGCTTACATAAGAGGTGTCATTGAAATGAACATCATAGCTCCCACGAAGACAATACAACACCACTTCTCTATCTGTGACCCGAACCATAATAGCTATTATCTATGCCGTAATACCTACGCCACTACACCACTTCATTACCAAATCTCACTCAGTTTTTACCAATGAAGTATTTTTCTCCATCTTCTGGAATTTACTGGACAATTTTTTTCTTTTTGATAGAAAGATGCAATAATTTTATATAATTTTGCTAGTAAATATTTTATATTACTATTATTATTACCCATGGGAATGTAATCCAGCTCGAATATGCCAATTATCTCATTTAACAGACGTGAAAATCGACTTACTTCGCATCCCTGAGCATTGGATTCCATAATAAAACGCAACACACCATAGCAAGCTCGACGAACAGCTAAACCACCGACCAGTTTGTAACGTAACGATTCGCACTGAGCTACAGCGCAAAGACCGCGATTTGTAACTTTTTCCGCGTAAAGCTGAAACATGAAAATATATCTGCTGCAGTAGCTTCGATAACCAAGTCAAATCAAAACTATAAACCAAATCAAAACTTGCAAACATAAAGGTTTTCCGTGACAAACTTACCTTATCACGGCATGCCGCTTAATTTTATGATTAAACTTATTTCAATAAGTCCCGTGATGATGCGAAATATATATATATGCACAAAATTTTGAAAAAACTAAAAGAGAAACTAATAATGATCCAAAACAAGTCAGTCAAAAATTTTTTGCGCAGAAAAAATAACGAAATTAAAGTGTTTGCACTAAATCCTACATATGACTTTTTCCAAACGTGTGATATATCCAGGCATATCTTTTCAGCATTCACAAAATGTTCCCCCATTTTTTCTTTAAAAATAATTTATGAAAGTTCCAAATTGTTTGTGAATTTACTTTACAACCAAAATTCAACAACTATATGAAGTGTGATATAGCTGAAATAAATAAAGTGGGCTTCTGGTATGAACTTCTACGCCAATGCTGCGATTTAGAGGCGAATGATCGTAACATACCTCAACTGTACCATCAGCAAATCCAAATCGTTTCTGTACAACCGATGTTAATTCACGAATCCGCCGTCCACGTTCACCTAACACACTTTGCGTACGTGTAGCCAAAATGATTATCTGCATGGAGAATATCAAAGTCAATGAAAAGTCAATAAACACAAATTTCGGCCTACAAGAAGTACTTTCAAAAAATTATTACCGTTATTATTATTAATACTGTTATTATTGTTACTACTATCATTATTATATTATTACTGTTATTATTATCAGTCATTCGTTATCATCATTACCATTATTCTCATTATTAATTATTATTATTACTGATCATTACTACTTTATTATAGTTGTAACACCTACCACTATTATTAATTTGCTTTAGTATTATTACTTATAATTAATGAGAGGATTGTGGCAAATTCTATGCCAACCAGATTTAGCCACCTTTCAAAAAAATTCGAAATTTAAATGGTGTTCCAAGGCATGTAGCTTTTAAAATCAAACTCAGTGAACAATACGAACCTCGGCACGTGCCGGTGTTCGCCGAACTTCAACACCCGAATAACCATCTTCGGCTAGTTCCTTCATAAGGAAATTATTTAATTCAGCTTTGAAAATACCATCCTGCACCGCCTTTCGCTTCTTTGACATCTCCTGCGTTGTGACTATCATTGGGCTTTTTCTTCTGTCTCGTGAAATTAAAATACCTAACTGTAGCTACCAAGATTACCTGAAATATATTAAAAATTGAGCAAATTATAATTTGTGGCTCCAATCTATTCCTATCCAATATCACGAAATATTACAACTACCCTGAAACAGTTATCCAGTACGACAATGACAAAGTCATTAATATGATGCTGCAATCTCAGCTAGCAGTATAAAAACATATGATTACAATTCAACAAACATACTGAAAGAAACGGATATGGAACTATTATTGGTCGACTTGCTTGAATATTTCAAAGCTCTCGACAGCTTCAAATTTATAGCGATGAAAAATATGTGAAGAATCATGCAGTTTAACATAAGTAATAGAAAATCGTATCATGAAAAAACAAAGGAAAATTACGATAAAATAAAAATGTCTGAAGCATTTACAAAAATACAGGAAAAATTTAATAGCAGAAAGACTGTCAATGCAAGGATATCATCGACTGCTACCGAAAAGCAACAAACATTCCCAGCAAAAATGTAATTATATAGCAACAGCTTTTGCTAAGCAACAACTCTAGCAACGTAAGTATCGAACCTAACGTTTGAGTCGTAAATGGAATCAATCAGGTCACGCAACGTACGAGCTTCAGCCCGATAAAAAGATTGTCAATTGACCCTAAAGACGTCCTATCCCATTTGACTTGAGAATTACAAATGCGGGCCGCGGCCCATTAAATACCGCCTATCTAGCTGGATGCTTTGGACCTCTTCTTTAGCATTTGTTATTCATTCTCTATCTGCCATTACAATGTCTGTTAACTGCCTAATACATGTAGTATGCACAGGTTCTTAAACTACTGTATAACCGTCTGAAGTCTCTTCGTTAATAACGTTGTACTTTTTATTATATGTGTCTAACGTAGTGTCAAAGAATATGAGTTGCAGTTAAATCCTGACACTGTCCAACTATGTGTCACTATTTTGTGAACTGTGCAAGCTGAGTTGGAGTGTAGATTTGAGGGATCTGAAATGTGAGAGTAAGTGAAAAAGTAAGTAAGTGAAGAGTTAAGAGTAATGAAAGTTACTTTTGCAACTCGATATTAAAGTTTCCAACTAACAATGTTTAATCAAAGTTTTTTAACTTATCAAAATTTGGATTTATTATCAAAAATGAGTTATGAGGGGGTATCTTTAAATTATTAAATTAGTATTCTTGTAATATCATTGTTTATTGAACTAATAGTATGCTCTATTAGATTAATCATCTCAATTAGAAATGAACTTTACTTGAGCAGTATTCAAAAACTTATTTATTCTCGAAATCATTAATTACATAACAAGATCAGGATGAATTATCACTCTGTAGTAGTTTTATCATTGGAATTGAATTTCACTTACAAAAAAAGACAAAAAAAAAATCATCAAAGATAATTTTTTCACGCACATAATTACAGGAGTGGTGAGTTGTATTTAGGATAAACCGGAAAGTTTTATTTACAATCCAACTAATTCCTATAGTTTAGATTTCCATAATTTGAATTTTCAGAATATGAAGTGGAATTTGCTACTCTTTCATTTCTACAAATTTATTGCATCTCAGAATAGCTTCAAAATTCTCCACCTTAGAATTAATTGGTTTTCTTATTGATTTTCCATTTAACGCTTAAATCTAGAAAATTTCTATCTGAACAACATATGAACAAATAATAGCCTAAAATATTTGATTGATTAGTTTAATTAATAGCAAAATTGATTAATACCACCAGCAACATTTCAATAATACGAAACATAAATGAAAACAGAATGTGAACAGCGATGATTTGTACAGCACCGTATCGACGTAATCAGCGGATTGTCGATCTTCATATTCCACACGTCCGTATAAGTTTACAACCCAATAGAATCCTGAAAATTCAAAATTAAATTCGAAATTTAAAATTTGCTCCAAAAAGGATTCCAAGTTCATTGATTTATCGAAAATTTCATACCAGGTATATGTATCTTAATGATATCTTCCCTGTATACGTCTTGAAATTTATGGTATAAATATTAATAAGAATATTCAGGATCAGATACAATTAGAAAACATAAATGATAACTTTAAGCTTTAGAAGAGGTAAAATATTAAATTTGAAAATATTTAAATTGAATTCAAGCATGTTTTACATTTAGATCACGAAGTATATTCAATGAAATATGCAATTTAAAAAAAAAAAAAAAAGCAATTTCTAGTAGGTAATTTTTTTTTTGAAAATATTCAATTGCTTACCAACTAATCCAATTAGTAAAACAAATAATGAAACCAGCAAATAAATAATACAACCAATAAAACGAATAATTTGACAACACCATTTGCGTTCACCGATTTTTGTTGTTGTTGCATAGGTGAAGAAGAAAATTAGATTAAGAAGAACCTGTACCAATCCTGAAATTAACTCCTCAATCAATTTTAATTTAAGAAATTCAAATAATTAATTAGAAAAATTAATATAACCTAAATTTTTTATGTGCAATGGTTTACTCGGATAAACGTATTTCAAGATTATTCGATTTGATCTTTTGCTTGCTACTAAGATCCCTTACTTTCTTTATTTACCTTCATCCTCATTTTACTTTACTTTACTTTATTGCTACTGAGATCCTTTACTTTACTTTACTCTATTTCTACTGAGATCCTTTACTGCACTTTATTTATTTACTTTACATTTACTTTCTTTTGCTTTGTTTTACTTGATTTTTTACTTTACTTGCTTACTACATGGCTAATTTAGACACTCTTATTGTAAGCGACTTTCTTTTCTTTGTTCAAAATCTGCTTTTTTAGTTCTTTCGGGAATTGATCAAGTGATCATTTTACTATTACCAGTGTAATTACGAGGTATTTTGCGGATAAAATTTGAACATTTAACTATGAAACTTGAATAATTACAGGTATTATTGAGTTATAATATTCAATCCTTTTTTAATATTCTAAATTTATGTTTCAAAGTTTAAAAATGAGATTTGAAAGTTATTATAATGTTTTTTTTTTTTTCTTTTTTCAGCAAAGATTAGAACAAATGTCTATGTATGTTTCTGCAAAATTTGAAACATTCATCTTAAATTTTAATTGACATAACAGTAAAATGTGACTGATTACGGTAGATGGAATTTTCTTGAAACAAAATGTAGCGAAGTGTAATTCATCATTTAACTCTTTCAGTTCGTATAAATGCAGAAAAAGGTATTTACTAGACGATTGAACAATTTTACAAGAAATTTAGCAAATCTAATTAATAACCTCTCATTAACTTTGGCTATATAGATTAAGCTTTAAGTGATATCATGATTTTTAATAATGATTGTAATTAAAAATTTACAACCTTTATGTTGTCAATAAAATGTGTAAATATACTTATTACCAATTTTACTAGTTGAAATAGCATTGAAATAAAAATTTTGATGAGACAAAATAAAATGTAGCAATGCTAGTGATAGCATTATCAGTGCAGTTGAAGCAGTAATATAAAAAATAATAAAAATAAAAGTAGTGATAATGTTGAATGAAAGACTGCAGCATTAATTAGAAGAAATAAGCATAAATTTTGTTAATTTTAAAGTTAAAAATTTAAATGAAACATTTCAAAATTCTGATTGAACTGCTTAAACAAACCATTCCGGCAATGAATTTCATTTTAATATTTCACTTTTAGCTATAATTGCTTTTATTGCATTACTATTTCATTATTCCTTCTTTATTGATCAATTACAAGTAAATTTTGCTAACTGGAAAATTTTAACTTAACAATTAATCAATCACTAAAATTGCAAAATCTCAGTATGAAAAATCAGAAAAATCAAACAAAAAAAATTTTTTTGGTTAAACAAAAAAAAAAAATTCTTTTTAAAAACTTTTTTTCCAGCTATGAAGTTTTAATTATTAGCAAAATATAAGTTTAGAAAGCGAACCATAAAGAAGCAGAACAGTTTTTATTGTATACGCACTTTGATGACGTGATTCGTAGCCGTAAACGGATGAATTACGAGAAAATGCAACGTATAAGGCGTATACGCCACATGCATAACTAATTATCGCAATTGCTAATTGTTTTTTATTAACTGAAAATAATTAAGCGTAAAATAATGAAGGAAAGCTATTCAAGTAATTAAGTTCTATCATATATAATTTCCCTGATTAAAATATTCTTTGAGTTATCGCGGGATAATGGAATCTTCAATGGTGAGAAAATAAAGTATACAATGTTCAAAAATAATTGATATCAAAAATTTTCATGTTTTATCTCTTTTAAAATCTGAATTCATGCCTGATTTTTGTATAATCTAAAATTAATTACTAAAAAAAAAAAAAAAACATTGAATTGATAATTTATGATTAAAAATTTTTATATTACAATAAAAAAATTTGGAAAAGTTGAAAAGAACTTACTCATTTGATTAAAAAATACCACCAAATAGATAGCTATGCTATTTCTCGTTCCTCTTTTCCTGAATGTCTCTGATGATGGCTGATTGTTGCTGTTAACAGTATGTCTATTCGTTGATTCTAATTTTGAATTTGATAAACTGTGAAATTCTAAGTCATATTCGTTGATAGCGGAGTGTGATAATGGAAATTCCTCGTATCTCTGAGGTGTTAGCTTCTATAAATGAACGATAAGCATGAAATAAAACTGAGACAATTTAAAGAATATTTGTTAAATTAAAATTTTAATAAGAATAACTTACTAATTAGCAACAGTAGGTATGAAATTAATGAGAATGCTAAATGAGTAACAGGTAAGATATGAGAAAAATAAGAAATGTTGATAGTAGTATTTACCATTGTTTATAGGAATAATTAATTGTCCGAGTAAACAATAATTACTCTTACTAATACCATCAATGTCGCATTCCGCGGTAAATTTCGCGGTAAAGTCTACCATTTCATTTACATACAGAGAAAAGTAAAGTGGAAAATGATGAAAGATTTAAATTGAATGTAAATTTCAACATAAATTCATCTACAAATGATATTAATTGAGAAGAATATCATTGAGAATATGCTATTGAATATGAATTGGCGGTAAAGTCGCATCAGAAATTATTGTCATTTGAAGTGCAAATGTAAATATCTTTCTTGGCACATTTATCATTATCAGTGATGATCAATCTTTTTCACCAGACTAATTCAAGATGTCATATTTGATTAATTAATTTCTAAATATCTTTCTGATTAATCAAAAAAAAAAAAATTTGATTAATTTAATCAATAAGCATTAAGTAAACTTATTTCAATTCCTGATGATACTAAAATGTTTTACCGTTTTCCGTTTCTCATCTTCGCCGCAATTATTTAACATTCTCCAATTATTGTAGCATGGATTAATTTTCGATGCGTTTAATTGTTCCGTATTGTCATTTTTCGAAACATGAGAATACATCTAAAATTTTAACTTTTTTTTTTTTTTAATTTTGTTTAAATCTTGAATTGAAGACATTTGAAAAGATATGAAAAATGAAACAATTAAAAGTTAAATATTAAATGAAATTTTAAAGATTAATAATTAATGGATAAAAGTTCATAAAAAGTTATATAATTTTATATTGCTTTCCGTTTATTTTCTTTTTATTGTTTTTTCTTCATTCGTTTTTGTTATTTAAATTTCATTTCAAAAGCTCAAAACTATTTCTCAATATTTATGTCAACAGTATTCGATGTTTTTTTTTTTTTTTCTCTTTTCTCATTTTGAATTTTTTCAATTTTAATTTAAAAAATTACTTATCTTCTTTTAGAGTTAGCATAATAAGTAAATTTCTGTAATACTTTAACATTTCAACGTGAATTATTTGTTATGCCTTTTTAATAACACTAAGTTTTTAAGCTTAGATAATTAAACCAAAAAAAAAAAAAAAAGCAATTTAATAATGTTGAAATAATATATGCACAAAATGAATGTGATTGAATTATTTTATAATTATATCTTTAGCATTTAATTATCGTAACCCTTAAGCTAAGCTAAGACTTACAATCATCATTTTCTAGTTTAAAATTATGATAGAAATAGTTAACAATTAAAATTCATCATATTTACAAAAATTTTTGATTGATATGCAAATGAGAAATTAAATTGAAAAGTATGTATGTATGTGTTTGATCTATAAAATATCAGTTTTACTAATTTTGTAAAAATAAAATTCCAATCATTGCATTTATATATATTATTTTAATAATACTTCAAAAAATATTTATTGCAAACTAATTGATAATATTATAAAAAAATGAATTTTGCTTTGGTGGTATCAGATGAAAGAAAATGAATGAATTGATGAGAAAAAATGAAATAATGATGGGAAGAAGTACGATAACGAAGAAGATGGATTATGAGACTAATGAAAACTTTTTTATGATCTACAACAACACTATTATAGATTTATTGTTTGGTTTTAATATTAAAAAAAAAAAAAATTTCAACTTTTCATTGTTTTTCTTTTTTTGCTTTGAAATTCTTGAATTAATCGATTCAAGTCAATAGTCATTTATTGATCATTTGAGATAAATCAGTTTTTCTTTAGTGATAATAAAGCTTTTTTAGTTCTTAGCAAATTCTTCCAGAAAATTTCCATAATTTATAAATTTCATAAATAAATAATAACTTTTTTTATTGTGAAATAATATATTTCATACAAAAGTAAAGAGATAGAAAGATTTATATAAAACATAGATCACTAAAGTAATAAAATTTTTAAGTAAAATTATCAAGTTTTGCTCTTTAAATAATTATTAACAGTTGAAAATGAAAATGAAATTCATGAAAGGAGATAAAAGATTTGAAAAAAAAAAATGGTAGTGAAATTTTCACTCTTTTGAGATACTGATTAGCAAAATTTTCATTTTTTTTTTTTTTTTTTTTTGTTTTAAATTCAAATGAAAAAAAAAATGACAAAATTACTGTAAAGAAGGAGAGAATTACAAGATTTGATGATAAATGATATCAAATTAATAATCTTTGATGATAGCTAATTTAATAATTAGATAACATTGCTAATGTTACTTTTCACAAAAGTAATTTCGTAGAAAGCACAAAAAACAAAACAAAATAAAAATGTAAATAACATTAATTTTTACTGAGAATTTTTTGCTGAAGAAAAAAATAAAAAATGAAAATGAAATTAAGAAGAACAAAAATTCTTTCAATGATCTAAATTATTTCATGATTATTCTCATTAATCTAAAAACTATTTAGCAGGAACTTTTGAACAACATGAAGATTTCTTTTTTCAAAAAATTTAAATTTATATTTGAAAAGTTAATTTGTTTTCTTCTTCTTTTTTTTTTTTTGAGAGGAAAAAAATTCTTCAAAGTTGTTGTAATTGTTTGTTTTCGTTATTTTTTTTTGTCATCAATGACTTGCTATAGTTGATGTATATTCATCCATTTGCAATATGTCATTCTAATTTTTTAACTAAAAATTTTTTTTCAAAAGAAAAAGAATGTTTTCAATAAATTTTTTAAAAAGAAAATTGAAATTTTTTCGTTTTTACTGCAATGTAAAATTGCAAAAAAAAAGGAAAAAACTTTTTTGTATATTATTTAAAATATGCTTCTATAAAAATAATTAATTTTACATATTTTTATTGCCTATTTTACTAGCACTTCAGACTTTTTAAGCATCATAATTATATCTATTACTATTTGTATTACATATATTCTACAACAGGAAACCAAAATATTTTTTGAAATAAATATTGTTATTTTGAAGAGAGAAAAAAATGATTTAATAAATAATTAATTAATAATTAAATCTAGAAAAGGTGAGAAAAAAGAAGAAAAATGATGAAAGATTGGTGTATTTAAAAAATATTATGCAAAAAGTGTTGATTAATCAATTTAGCAATTTCTTCTCATCTTGCTCCTTTTTTTTTTTTTTGATGAATATTAGCTTTTAGAAATTTTGTGTTGAAATTAATCAACAAATATTTTTCAAAATATGCCATTAAAATTAATGAGTATTTATTTTGTGATAAAATACATTCGAATAAGTTATATTCGTTGAAAATTTATGAAACTTAACAAAATGAACAATCAATAATGATTACTGATTATTTTATCAGAGTTATCACAAAGAAATGTTATCTGATTAAAACAGTGATATTTTTTACTTTTATGCACATAAAATATTGCAAAAAAAGGGAATTCAGGAATTATATGATAACAGCACTGATAATCATTACTGATAAGTGATAAAATATCCTAAATGTAATGTATGAAAGCATGCAATTCATGCAATTTGCTCTTGCATCTCTTTTCGTTGATTAAAACAATTTGTAATTATAAAAAGAAAAAAAAATTATTTCAGTAAGGCAGGAAGAAGAGTTGAAGAAAAAATTGCAAAATAGAATGGCGATGACAGAGAAAAAGAAAAAGAAAAATAGGAAAAGAGCAATAATGAAAATGCAAACATAAATAAAAATATAATGTAAAATGGTTAACTGAGATGTATAACTGAGATTAATGTGAAATCGATCAAAGCGCAATATTCACTAACAATGATTGCAAAAACTTTTGTTAAACTTTTAAATTCAAAAAAAAAAAAAAAAAAAAGAAAAAAATAAAATCAAAGAAATGAAAAGAAAAGAACAAATGAAGTCTACCAATAATTTTACTCCTTAATTATCAGTATTACTTTATTAATTATTACTAATAATTATTTAAAGGAACAATATTCAGCAAAACTTCAGTTGTCTTTATGAGTGTAAATTTATTTAGATATGAATATATCAATTAATTCTAGAAGTGTAAATTTTTAAATTCTGTTATTTGAAAAATGTTTTTAATTCAAATTCTAAATGACTTTATGTAACAGAAAATGAATGATTGATTATCTCAATGTAAAAAAAAAGACAATGCAAAATTGATTAATATGCTAAAAGCGAAAAATGGAAAAGTAAGATTTAATAAAAGTACAATGTTTCTAAAGTATAATAAAAGTTAGACTTTATCAATTTTTTCCGGTTTCTGGATCAGTATTTTCTAAAGACGAAAGTTTTGCAATTTCATGGTTGTAATAAAGTAGTCATTGATAATAAAATTTATGTAAATATATATGTATATCATTTATCATCACTACATTATCATCCATAGCATTATAATTCTGCTCATTCGGATAAGTTAACATTTCATTTGATGTTTAAATTTAAACAAAAATAAAAAACCGACTTTTAAAAAAAATAAAAAACGAAAAAAAAGTTTTTTTTTCTCTTTAAATTAATTATTAATTGTTTTGTTAGAGAAAAGAAAATGTTTCATCTAACTGAGCAAATTATGAGAAGTAAAAAAAGTGGAAAAATTATAAAATTGATATGTAGCATTATAAATTATCTTTTTATTGAACATAAAAATTATAACCTTTAAGTGATTTCTTTAAAGTTTCCATTTATAGATTGGTTAACTAATAGCGTACTTAATGTAGTATATGTTTGATTCAATGAAAATTTCACATTTAGAAATTAAAAAAAAGAAAGAAAAAAAAAGTGAATAAATAAAAGAAGCAGAAAGGAAAAAGATAACAAATTATTGTTAGCAACTTTAAATGAAATAAAAATTTTTTTACGGAAATTTTCAAACAATCATAGGCATATTTCTAAGATTTTACATTATATAAAAGCATAGAATTTTCAAATTAATGATTAATTGAAATGATTCAAAATGTTAAAGAAAAAAAAATTAGAAATGTTTTATTTATGTAAGACACAACAATAAAAATTATTAGCAATCTTTCCTATTCAGTTCATTCAAAAATAGAAATTGGAATTTTAGGCAATCATTGAAATTCTTGAAAAGAAATTTTAGTTTGCACCGAATTAAGCTTTTTGCACAAGTGAAAAATGCTAGAATGCCAAAAAATTTTAAACCATATGGTCTACATTGAAAAATAATTTTATTTTAAAAATATCTATTCAGGCAACAAAAAAAAATTAGCGGATTTTTTCAAATATTTTTTGATCAATATTATCATGGCTTGCATTACTGTAGCCTCGTCATGTCCTGCATTACTTTAACGTTATCATGGCTTGCATTACTGTAATGTTACCATGGTTTGCATTACTGTAATATCATCGTGGGTTGCATTACTGTAATGTTATCATGGCCTGTATTACTGTAACGTTATCATAGCTTGCATTACTGTAGTCTCATCATGGCTTGCATTACTGTAATATCATCGTGGGTTGCATTACTGTAATGTTATCATGGCTTGCATTACCGTAATCATCATGGCTTTTAAAAGTGCGAAACGATTGAAAAAATTGGAACGATGAAAAGCGAGCGCGAAATTTTTGATTTATTACCAAAGGGAATTAAATGTTACTTGAAATTGCACATCATACTGATCTAATTGATAAATATTTATACTGAGAGATTACTAATTCATAATATTTTAATTACCTTAAATTAATAAAATTGATAAGCTAAATTCATTGCATCAAATGATAGATATATATTTTACAACTAGTACAACTGATCAGAATTTGTGAAAAATTATTTTTGTTAAAATTTAAAATTCTCACTTTAGATTGTTTATTACACGAGCGATAAAAGTTTCAAAATTTTTCAGACAAATTAATAAATCAATTACAAGGCCTAGTAGGCTAACTTTACTACTATTTTATTGTTTTATAGAAAGCATTAATTAGTCATAGCTCATGATTATATTTCAATCATTTTTAATTAGAGTTTTATTACCGAATTTTAAATTACTCTCCATATTGCCACAAAAAAAAATTTTTTTTATTTTACCAAACATATAAATAATATCATAATAATGAGATTTGACGAGAAATTAGTAAAACTATGTTAATTATTAAATTATTTTTCAAGTTAATTAAAATTATTCCTCAAAAGTTATCCATGAAAATATAGAAAGTAATTATTTATATTAAATTATAAATAATATCCTTCTTTTACTAGTTCAATAATGAAATAAACTAATGGATGTATAAGGCTAAAAACTGATTAAGTAATTACTGTTTCATTTACTTATACTTTATGGAATTGACAAGAAGTTATTTTGATAATGTTTGTCATCTAAAAATAAAGCAAATAAGTGGGATGGAATGAATGTCGATGATAAAAGATTAAATGCAATGCTTCCAGCGTAACTTTTTCGGAAATTTGAATTTAACAAGTTTAAAATGAATGATAAAATTTATGATTCCATATATTAAATGGCAAAACAGTGTGATAACAAAATGATACGCAAAATATTTATTTATACATATATGTGTGTGGAACTGAAAACAAAAATTTTAAAATAAAAAATATAAATATTTCAACAATAAAAGCGTCGAATAAGCGAAATAATATTTTCTTTTAAGAAAAAAAAAATAATAGACAATGAATAGAAAAATAAACAATAATAAAAAAGAAATAGAATAAAAATTATTAAATATGAAGCACCAAAATATTCACTGATACAATATGGCATGAAAAAGTTATTAATACAAAATGGCCACAAATTCTATAAAATTTTAAAATTCATAACAAAATTTTTGTTTTTGTTTTTTACAAAAACTAAAACTAATATATGGCATTGTTATAATATACCAAATAATGCTTACATGTCATGAAATAATTGATAATAATTTGAGCAAAAGCAAAAAGCAAAAACAAAAACAAAGACAAAGCAATGGATATAGTTATATTTGAAATTGGCTAGTAAAAAATTTTAACTTCCACAAAAAGTTTTGTAACAATAAATGTAAAATACTTTTGCTCAGAAAAATGAAAATCAAAAATTAAGAATTCCTCTTTCGTTTGAGTTTCAAAAAGGAAATTTTTCCATTTATTATTTTATATAAAAGTTTTTAAAAGTAAAATAAATTGTACTTAGTTACTCGTAAATACAAAAGTGGTCGAAATTATTTACAAAAAGTAATCAAAAAAATACCGATTTTAGATAATTTACAACACTTTCAATATAACTACAATGGTTAGATTTTCTTTAAAATGAATTAATAAAGCCGCTAAGATCTTAAATCATTTCTTACTTTTCATTTAAAAGCAATATAAAAGAATCATAAATGCGTCTTTGAAATAAGCAAGTAATAAATGAAGTCAAAAAATTGAATTAGAAAAGTGGAAAATGAAAATTATATAGATAGCACCTTGGGACCAATTTAACAGGTAAGCTGCATAAAACAAATATTTTTTTTTTAAGTGACAAAAAAGTGAATTTACAACGATCAATTCAATAATATAATAAGCTTCACAAATTCAAAAATTTCAATGATAAAATTACTTTGGAATTTTAGAAAATTATTTAAAAACTTTAATTTGCAAATTTAAAAGATTCATTTCGTTATTCTTGAATTTGCTTTCTTTTTCTTTTCTCAAAGTGCAGAAAATTCTTGTGAGAAGTAAAATTTAATAAATACACAAACATTAATAAACAAACAGATATTATCACAACAAATTATAACTATGAATGTCATCAACCCGTGTGCATAAAAAATACCCATTTTAGAAAACATAAGAAACAAAAGAAATAAATATTATTTTTTCTTATCTTTTCTTTATCATCTCATTTTTCTCTTTAAAGATAATTAATTCATTTAAATTTTATAACAATAAATAGGATAGAATTCGAAAATGTTTAAAAATAGACTAATAATTCTATGCCTCACTTGTTTCCTCACGTCGAAATTGATATTCAGCCTGATATAGTGTTGGATGATGTGGACGATTACGTTTAAAGAATCCACACTTCCAAAAAATGAGTATTAAAATTAATAAAATTAATAGGCCTAGGAGAGCAGCTGCAATAATTACCCACCACGGAATTGGTGCTGTTTCCGGTATAGCTGGTCGATCCGGATATGCATGAGTTGATGCAAATGCAAAATTATTTCGCGTATTTCTTTCTTCAATACCTTGTTCTTGATCCAGAATTAATCGACCGGACGATAAAATTTCAACATATGCTATATCATAATAATCCTTAAAGAAGAAAAAAAAAAGTAGGCAATGTTAAAGAACAGTAACATTGGTTGATTGCTAAAATATCTTAGTGATTTATTCCAGTGTGTAGATTAAATAAATTACGAATAAAATTTACTCACAAAAATTTGCATTTCTTTTTTTTTGTATGTGAATGCTTATAGTGTTGAAAGATAGCACTATTGATCAATTTTTTAATTAATTTAATTAGAAAAGTCACTTCAACAAAAGTAGCATTCCATAAACGTGACCGGAAATCTATTACTGCAGCAGCATCAACGTCCAGAAAATCGAAATGACATGTGACTGTGAAACATTTCGCTGTCTTATCAGCACAATTCTGCAAAGAACAGAATTTTATTTTTGTTAAATTTATGAACACTGAACTGTGTACAGCATACTTTTGTTATTTATTTATTCTAAAAGAAAATAAAACTTTCCGCCTGGAAATGAAAATGCTGAAGAGAGGAAATTAGAGTGTTTCGAAAATTTAATCATATTTAACGTACTTTTCTTATCTTTACACACTATCTTGAAAAAAAAAAAATTAATTCCCAACAAGTAAATAATTATTTATTATTACTAAATGTCCAGCGAAGCAAATTTTTCTGAATAACTGAAATTATTTTTTGTTTTGTAAAACAAAAAAAAGAAAAGAAATGTGACACAATAAGAAACTTACCACTCTGACAATTTCAACTTCTTCACCTGATTTTTCTCGAATTTTTGTTGATTTTATTCTCAGCTCTCGAGATGGCCTCTTTTCGCGGTGCTCTTTAATTGTTCGCTGAAAAAATTTCAGCATTATCAAATATTTTTGAAAATATTCGTTAATGAGATGATAGTGGTGCTTTTGTCACATGTTTTAAGCTTTAGTACTTATATGAAAATAAAACAATTAAATAATAGCAGAAGAGAAAGTAAGAAAAGAAGGAAAACTATTACAATTATTGTCACATTACCACTCCGTTTAGATCTATTTTATTCTAATTTAACATTTCCAAATGAAATGTACAAATTAGTGAGAAAAATTACACTTAATTATCCCTTTTAATTAGAAAAATTACACTTAATTATTCCTATTTTAATTAGAATCATTACACCATCCAACATTATAATCTAAAAAGATGGCTTTTCTTCTTATTGAAAAGATAATAGTTGTTTCATTATATCATTTTTTTTTTCATGAAAATGCACAGTTATGATGATAGATAACCTTTAAATGAAGAAAAAAAGGTCACCAAAGCATTGAATGATCGATCGTATGAATGATATTACTAATAACGAAATAACATTCATAAATAAAAATGTTTAATGGATTGTAAAAATGATTTTCAATTAAAAATAATATGATAATTAATATGTTTTATGTATTAGATCGTAATTTAGCCTCACCTTAAATCGATTCAGGTCTTCGTCATCTTCGTCATTTTCCTGATCCATGTCATCGTTATTGTCATCCTCATAGTATTGCTCATTTCCGGTTTCAAGAAGAAATTTCAGCTGTAACGGATTGATCCATTCATGTGGTAAAACCATCGTACATTGCTTGATATCTTTACTGTTATCAGTATTAGTTAATTGCATTGTTGGTGTTTCCATAAGGTATAATGCCCATTTACCTGTTGTAAACACACTTGCCATCTGATAAGGCCAATCAACCTGAAATTTAATCAAATCTAATTCACAGAAAATTTTTATTTGAAAATAAAAATAGAAAGAAAAAATAGATTTGATTTAAATCTTATAAATGTAATTTGATATTTCTGACCTGAAGGGTGACATTTGACACTGACCAAGGTCCTTTATTTGTGACAGTATATTTATGCACGACAAGTGGTCCAACATCTGCATCAAATTCCATCTCTGACTCACCTTTCATTTCACCGCCATACCTAATTATTACAAAATTTAAATTTTAATATAGTGAATCCTAAATCAAAATACCTCTAGCATATTTGATAAGCTACTAATGAGTAATTAATTTCTTTTTCTGTACACAAATAGAAGTAATACAGATACCTTTCTGTATATTATATATCATTAATAACTCTGAAAACTACATAATTGCTCGATTAGCAAAGGACAAGTAAATTTTTAATTGAATCAATAAATAATTTAGTAATTTATTAATTGAATTGATAAAAATTTATTAAATAATTTAAAAAATTTATCCGTCCTAATATAATGTTTATTTTCAATTAATTTGATGTGAAATAATTGTTCTGTTAATAAATTTCAGGAAAGAATTAACTTACCTAACAATGGAAGGATCAGAAACAGCGCTAAGCTCTAACTCAGCTCGTTTGATTACACGTACGACAGTTTTCCATGAATTATCATCCAAATTCTTCTCATCACTGGTACTATTAACAAAAGCTCGAAACTCCAAAGGTTTACCTAAACCTTCCGTACGTCCACGTGCTATACGGAAGCTAAGCTCGAATTTCAACTAAAAAAACATTGGAGTAAATTTATTTTAGCTAAAATCTATTTGTAAATATTTGCAATAATATAATTTTGTGGAATTTTCGCTCAAATTTCATATTCCATTTAATTCAATTCATTCTGATCAAAAACATTTGAAAATGTTTAAATGTAAAAAATACTTTAAAAAAAAATTTTTTTTTGAGATTTATTAATTTGAAGACTAATTTATTTATAATTATATATTACTAATGATTAATAGCAAATAAGGATAAGTAATATTACTTAAGTTATTAAAAGTAAATAAATAAACCTGTTTATTTGGTTCCATAGGATTTCCAAGTGATATGATAGCTAGATTACCTTTGAAATCATCAATATTGACAGGACTATCTTTTCTAATCAAAATTGGAATATCTAATTCATCCGAATTGTATTCAATGAATAATGTTGCCTCATAGGCTCTTTCAGCATTGTTTTTAACCAAAAATGATATATCAATGGTGGTTTTTTCACCTACTTGTGTTACATATGTTCCATCTTCTTCTTGCCTAAAAAATAAATTTTTTAAATCTCAATAAAATAACTATTCAAACAGCAAAAAAAAAAAAAAAAATGAAGTATTATAAAGTTAGAGTAATTCTTTTCAAATCATTATTTTTCTTTTTGTAAATTTTCACATTAACTACTATTTCACTAATTTTATAAACAAATTTGAGTTGCAATTAATTAATTCAATTTTGTTGAATAATTTTTTCAAATTTGCATTTTACCACTTACGATATTCCCGGTAGCACAGCTAGTAGTTGCAAATCACTTGTACAAACATTATCAACACCACATTTTCGATTAAAGTGTATCTGTGATAAATCTGAGTGATAAGCTAATGCAGGTGTAAAAAAAAAATAAAGAGATAAGAGATAGAAATGAGAAATTAATTAATTTTTCAAAGCATCAAATAACAAGATAAATTCTTTTTTCTTTTTAAATTACTAAAGATTACTAATAACTTATAAGTAATATACTCAGTTTTGAATAATTTAACAGTGCTAATTATCTGTCCTCTAATGATTTTGTCATCTTGCGAGAAACTTACAATGAATGTATCCTCAGATCCATACTTATTCAAAACAGGATATAAATTCATATCAACTATTTTGCCACCATTTCGAGGCATTTTTGGGATCGCTTCATTTCGTAATTGCACAGAAAATCGTAATTTTATTGGATTTATCCAATCGCTATTTGTATTCTAAAAAGAAAAAACAAACAACCGCTTACTTTGATGATAATAATATAATCAGAAATGAGCTTAAAAATAAGAAAGTGTTTTAAAAAAGCATAAATATCTCAATGAAATCGGATTTTAATTTAATCTACATAATAAGACAAATATGAAATAAACAAATTTTGTGAAGAAAGAATTGAATAATTAAAAGTTATCATATGAATAAGATAATTGGAAATTACTAAAAATTTTAAAAAGAAAATAAAATAATAAAAAGTTCTAAAAAAGAATTTAGCATACTGTAATGAAAAGTTTGTGATTTTTTATTTGTGGTTTTTGATTAGCACCTCGTCCACAATTCCACGTGTAATTCTCCTTGCGTGATTCAAGGATACGTGCTCGAGTCCCTACTCCTGAACTCATTGCTATAACCTAGAAAAAACTTTTTAAGTCGGTTAAAGTCTGTTAAGAACTATTGCATTATGTATAAAAACATCGTTTATAGCAATCAAACAAAAAAAGAAACCGTAAAGTTTCCGGAAACGTTCTATCTATCAGTTATCATTTTCATATTCTAATATTATATCTCAATATACATATGAACCAAATTTTTTTTTTTTCTGGAAATTAAAAGTATTAATTTTGAAAGTAATTGCAAAGAAAAAAAATACAAATTTATCAAATTTCAAATATAACGAGATGACTTTGTAAAAAAAAAAAATTGAAATTTAAAAATAACTTACCTCAAGCATACATTTAAAAACATCACTATCAAAATTTAGTAACTTTGATGAATTTTTTATATTTGTTTTATCCATCGATAGTTCCGTACTGATTGAAAAACTATAAAATACCATAAAAATGATTGAATTCTATTCTATCACATAAAAAATTTTTTAATTATATAAGCGATATACTTATTAATAAATAATATATGTATATTTGAAAGAAGGAATAAAAATTGAAATAGTTTTTTAACTGTATAATATTTCAAATTTATTTGAATTTTGTAAATTACTTCCAATTAGAAAAGAAAATTTTCCTTCTTTTTTTAAAAATTAAGAAAGAAATATTATTAATTTTGATAGATTTATAAGAACTAAAATTAATTAATATTGATTTTATGATTAAAAATTAATGAATGAGTAAGTGTGCATACCATGTTTGTGCAGTTCTAAAACACGATGAGTCACCGTCGATATCAATTTTCATATCATTATCAATATGCTGAGCAGTGATATAAATTACTGGCCTAGCTCGAAGTAGGATGACTGTATCAGATGCAAAAGCACCAATAACTAAATCATTGTAACCATTGCCATCCAAATCTGATCCACCGGATAATGAAAATCCAAAAGTTTTCAGTGCTTTCATATGCAAATTTATTCGTGGTAATTCATCAGCACTTATTATCTAAATTATGTACAAAATTTTAGGAAAAAAAAAAAAAGATTAAATTATGAATAGGTAGAATAGTTAATGATAGAGTGAAAATAAACAAAAACAAAAACAAAACAAAATAGATCGAAAAAATAGAAAATTTTGTGATAAAAAATAATTAGGAAAACTTTCTAAATAATAACCTGTACAGGTTCAGGTTTAAAGGTATTTGATGATTTTGCACCAAGATAAATGTACACTGCACCTTTACCATTATCAGTAAATGGTGCACCAACAGCGAAATCTAAATAAAATAGTAATCAAATGAATGAAGTAATTTTTTATGAAATTATATAAAACTCATTAATTATCATTGAAATATTTTTGATAGTGATAGAAATAATTTTAATAAATTAAAAAAGAATGTATGTCATATTTTACAATTATTAATTTTCCTTTTTTTTTTTCTTTCAATAAGTTAATTTCTAATTTTATCATTTATAATCTTTTCATTATAAACAGTTTTTTTCCTCTTTTTTTTTTTTTTTTTGCTTTTTATTTATTGTGAGATTATATTTCAATGTTTACAGTTGCAAAATATGAGATTCGTTTCAGTTGAAAAAGTTTAACAAACAAACAAAAATTTCTCATTTTTCGAAATATGAAAAAAAAAGAACAAAATTGTATGTTTGACAAACAATGAAAAAATTAAAAATAAATTAGTGATTTCAGTTTGAGATAAAAACGCTAACGATCAGTTCTTCTCTTCTAAAAATATTTTTTGTTTCGAAATGCAAATGCATCAATTGAATTATCTTATTTTTTTCTAAAATATCTTATATTATCTAATGGAAAAAGAAAAAATTACTGCAACAATAGATTTGGAATAAATTTCATGCAAACAATTATAAACGAAAAGATTTTCTATCATTAAATCATATTATTCATTTTTTCATTATTTCTTTGAAATTTCACATAGATATCAAATTTTCATCTCATCAAAATTTCCTCCAAATTTGTGTTTTGTTAAAATAAATTTGATTTTAAAATAATTGCGTTCATAAATTATTAATAAATCATTTTAAAGTTACGGTTTCGTCGATTCTAATCGAACAATAATTAGCAAAGAATATTGAAAAAAAATTTTCGATTCAAATATTTAAATTATTTTGGCTCAAATGCTAAAATATTTGAATTGATGAATAAATCTTTCCTCTTTTTCTCTCTGTCGCATTATTACCATTTATTTGTCTATTTTTTATTTACATAAAAGGTAATGAATAAGTTATACCGTTGTAATTATTATTATCACCGTCCACGTTTCCCAGACGTGTTATTGCTAGACCAAATTGCGAGTAAATTCCTTGACCGCGAATTTTAATTGGCTTTAGGAAGACGTTCGCATTTTCATGACGTTTACGTCGAATTCCGGATGAATAAAATATATATACAGCACCACCAAATGAGCCATCAACTGTTTCTGAGTATTCAAAAGGTGCTCCAACTAATAAATCATCAAATCTGAAAATTGCAAAACTTTTTATTTATTTGTTTTATTTGTCTGTTTATTTATTTATTTGTTTGCCCATTTATTTATTTATTATCCTACGATGTATAATACTTGAAAACAATGATTGTCCATTAATATACTGCAATCGTAACAACAAAAACGAAATGCTAACCTATCATTGTTTAGATCGATAACTTCAATTGCATAACCAAATGCTGAGCCAAGTTGTGAACCTTGGAGCATAAAGCTATCTTCCGTAAGGGTCAAATAATGCGAAGTTTGAGAATTCGGTGAATGACCGTTACGGAATGGCAGAAAAGTTACAGCACCCGTTTGATTGTATCGCGTAGCACCGGCCACAATTGTTGTATTATCTTTATCTTCAAACCTGTAATCATTTGTTAAATTGAATTTGAAATAATCGAAATAAAAATAACTTGAAGAGAAATATACTCGGCTTCAACTTAAAGTAGTAAATGATACGTTAGGTTTAAATTGAGTAATAAAAGAATACTTTAAAATATTTCTTTTCTGAGTAATAACTGCAATTTATATTTCTATAGAATATTAAGTGCAAAAAAAAAAAGTATTGTAAGTATTACTTTAGTCACTCAATTTCAACATCAAATTAAACATTTGATGGGAAAAATATTTTTAGTATGTAATTATTGTGAGAAAATGATTGTCCATTTTCATACAATAGTAATAAATTTCTTTTTTTTTTTTTTTTTTGACAGATTAAATTAGCATTTTTTTTTGGTGGTTTTTGGTAATAAAAAAAAGTTGAGATAGGCAAAACAATAAGAAAAAAAAAAATGATTTAAGTCACTGATTTGAAAAAAGTTTTTAATTACCTCTGAGTTAAAATTAGTTTTTATAGCTTTTAATTCTATCAAACTTTTGCCAAAATTTTTGAATTCACAAACTTACTGAACTTATATGATGGGAAATTTTAGGTAATATAGAATGATTTCATAAATAATATATGCAGTAATTTTAAAAATGAATTATATTTTCATAAATAAAATTTCAAATCACTTAAATTTTGAATTTTATTGATAATTTTACAAATATTATAAAAAATATAACTTTATAGAAAATTTTTTGAATTTTTACAAAAATTTCTTTTTTCCATTTAATTGTCAATTCAAAATTTTTATTTTCCTAGCACTTTCTTTTCTTTTTTCTGAATAATCTTTGAAAAAGATTTTTGAGAAAGAGAAAAAAAAATGAAATAAAATTTAGGATTTAAATTACCAAAAACCAAAACGACCATGTCGTACAGAAAATCCAAGATAATCATGTCCTTGGAACTTCGATCGTATACCATGCAATTTTGGATCGACACCCATTGTCCAGCGATCGCGATTCATTGCAAATATATCTTTTGGATAGTATCGTCCAAATACACCACCTGTCCACTTTTTTGCACCAGGTAAACCTGAAATGTCACCATGACACATATGAGACAAATGTCTTTCATCATTCCTTCTTTCCTTGTAACATTATAAAATTTTTATTGAAAAATTAATTATAGCTTCTAGGAAATGTTTTTTTTTTTTTTCTTTTTAAATTCTTTTTGAAAAAAATCAAAAAAAAAAAATTTAATTTAATCCTTCACTAACAATTGATTTGAATTGGCTAACTTTTTAACACTGATATAACAATTTTAATTCTTTTATTTCCTCTTCTTTTCTTTTTCTTTTACTTTATTCCATCAGTATGTAATTAATCATTTCAGTATTATTTAAAACTTTTTTGTCCAGAATTTTCTCGAAAGAAATGTTTTTTATCAAAGCTTCAACGGTTTTTCTTTCTTTTTTTTTACATTTAAAAATCGATTTCTTTCTTTTACAAAAAAAAAAAAAAAAAAAAAAGATAACAATATTAAACAGTTGTAAGCATTGAGGAAAGCAATATTCTTTTGATATCACTCAATCAGAAGTAGAAAAGGCTAAATGATAGCAATGAGAAATGATAACACAATTGCAAATAGTAAACAAGCAAGCCTAAAATTCCGAATAAATTTTTAGAAAAACTAAACTTTATCATATCAAGTTGAAAATAAATAATGTCAGTTAGACATAAAAAAAGCTATAAAACGACAATAAGAATTTCTAACTGATCAAATTTGTAAATTATTGAGTAATGATATTAATTACTTAGTCGAATTAGCTTATTTATCAAATTTATATTTGAATTTCAATCTGTTTCATGTTTCAGCCAAACGATTATTGTTTGATGTATGAAAAATATCACAAATTTTCATTATTAAAAAATATTTCAAACTCTAAAAAAAGATATCTCACAAAATCAATAATTATAGACAAACCAGTGATAACCATTGATTCGTCAACAAAACCACTAAAACCTTCCATGCAAGAACCAAATTCGTTATGTCTATCTGTTCGAGGTAAACCTGGTTGTGAACACGATACAAGAATTTCCTAAAATGAAAAGGTCTAAACTTACATATTTAAATATAAAGGTACAATTTTTTATGGTACCATACGTAAATTATCATGATATTACAAAGGCTTACCTTCTTTTTTTTTGAGATTTAATAATATAAACATTTCAGTTATTCAAAAAAAATTCTGTCAACAACCCAAAATAACAAAATAATCAATATTTTTCTATTACAATACTTTAATAGACAAATCCTCAGGAAAATAATTTTTGGTATTCCCTTTTTTTTTTGAGTACTTATACCTTTAGGTTATATGCACTAAGTAATATCAAAATACAAGAGATATGTTTATACATATTAGTCGAACCGGGTTTGTAACCAGATTTCTAATGAGAAAACTGAAATTATTTAAAGACAGCGTGGTAAATCGTTCCTATCATATCAGAAAAAAGCGATAATTTCAAACTGAATGGCATTTTTGTGACTCGAAAATTGACACCTAAATGTGACAAAACATTTATTTAGAAACAAATCTGACTTTGAATTTAAAATTTGAAAACAAATTTGGAAAGATAAACAAGCCAGATAGCCGCTTTTTTCTGTAATGATTTATGATTAATGAATCATTATTAAATTATTGATCTTTTCAAATTGAAAAATTGAAAAAAAATTAATTCTCACATTCCCAACAATTTCTTAATTACCATTTTCCCATGAAGCTTTATTAAGAGATTAGCAGGGATCTCTTCAACGATCTCATCGACAATAATCTCTAAGCTTAATTAATAGTCTTTTTAATTAAGCTCTAATCTAACTACTTATTATAAATAAATGAACAAAATGCGAAAACCTTTTGCGTGAGATCACTTTCAAGCACAAAACAAGTACCATCTGTATAAGCTGAACTATTATGATATCGTACCAATGGTGCACAGGCCTAAAAAACACGAAATCAATTACTTATTAATCAAATTAATCAATTTTATTTGTCCTACGTTTAACAAATAAACATTGTTGCACTCAGTCTTACTCCATTACTTTACTATTTGTCTAATTTTAATTAACTAAATTACCTAACTTTAAAATTTTTTACTAATTATCTTAGGTAACGATAAGAAAAAAAAAATAAAGCAAAACTTTCAAAATATGCAATTTACAATATGTTGAAAGAATAATTTCTTACAATGAAAAATCTCGAGAAATTTTTTCCACTTATTCAGTTTTTTACAATTATCAATTGCTCTATTCATTTTCTAAACTTCATTTTTGCAATCAGAAAAGAAAAAAAAAAAGATTTTTTATTTTTTCAAATTAAAAAAAAAAATTAAATTAAATTTAACATACCATTGCCATTCCATTCGGTATTCCGGCACTTACAACTACTGAACCCAATAATTGCCTGTTTTTACCTTGGAAATGTAATTGCCGGCCAAGTACACTATTTACCGGTTTATGCATCTCCTCAATGCTATCATATTCAACATTTTCCTGTTGACACCATCCGGAATTCACAGTAGCACTTGCACTATCACTAAAATTACCCATTTTGGGTAATTTAATTTAGCATTAATTCAAATATACATCATTTATCTAATTATTACTAAATGTTTTCGACGATAATTTCGATTTAAAAAAAAAAAAAAAAAAAAAAACATTTACGATAGGCTAAAATTGATGATAATCTTTCAAAGATTATTGTTAATAATATTAAACTATAATTCCTTTTATACAAAATTAATTTTATGCCAAAATATCATTTATTTATGAAACGTTTTCTTTTTCTTTTTTTTTTTTTTTGCACTTAAAATTTTCAGAATTTTTGCGTTATGCTAAAAAAGTTGAAAAAAATTTTTTTTAATATTCATATCAAATTTTTCTACTACATTAATAACTTATTATGAATGAATATTATATGAATTACTTTAACTAAAATTAAATTAATATTTGTTTGTTTTGTTTCGTTTTTTTTTTTTCTTTTTTTTTTGATTATTCAATAAATAGAATGAGGTAAGCATTGAGAGTAATAGCATTTGCAATAATAATTACAATTAATTAATTTAATTAATAAGATTAAATAAATAATCGCAAAACAATAATAATTATTATTATTATAAAATACTTATGGTTTTAGCATTTTTCCACTTTTTTTTTCTCGTATTAAAATAATTTGAAATTTGCTTATCTTTTATCTTTCTGAAAACTGTCGTAGAATACGAATAGTGACAATGTCAACTATCATTCAAATGTTTGCATATGTGTGTTTTAAACATCAATGGAATGTGTAAAAAGCAGGAATGCAAGAGGCTGCTTACTTCGCCTATTCAAATTACTTATAATTGTATTTGTAAATGTCAATATGTTAGTTTAAATTACTCAAAGTTAAAACAAATTACTTCTCAAATTACTTAAATTCACAAAAATTAAACTGTTGAGACTATTTAGATTATAAAAAATTTTATTTATAAAAAAATTTTCAAATGTATAAAAAAATAAAGGAATGAAAAAAACTGTTAGTGTTAAATTTAATGTATTTTTTGTTGAAGTAATAATAATTTCATTTTTTTTTTTTTTTTTTTTTTTTTTGCTCTGAGAAATTTTCGTCTTCTATAAGCGCTCAATGCTTTCATGCATCATTTGAAGTATATAAATGAATGATTGTTGAGCGGAAGAATGTGACATTAGTCATTTCTTTCCTTTTTTTAAAAACTTTTTTTTTTGTTCATTTAATATTTGATAAAATTTAGTGGTAGAAATTGAATATAATTATTATACTCGCATGATAAAATAAATCATTGATAATTGAATTTTAATTAATCACGAAATGATTATTTCAAATGCTATGAAATTATTTGAGAAATATAAAGTAGTAGAAAATAAATTTAGTAAAAAAAAAAAAAAAATTGTTTTATAAAAAATATTTGTAGATATTAAAATAATTATTAATGCAGTATTTTTCATATCAATTGATAAGATCATAAAATTAACATAACATATGGTAGTTTCAGACAGGTGATATGATAGGCATATTATTATCATTCAAATTTGGCATTGCACAAAATGATTAATGAGCCATATGTATTTGAAAGGAGAAAAGAGAAGAGAATGGTTGACATTGAACTTATTCCTTTCAATCAAAATTATTCATTCATATAATATCATCCGAAAGAAATTATTATATTTGCTAAGCATTTAATAAATTAAAATTACATTTTCAGAAATTTAAATAAATTTAAAATGTTGATTTACCTGTAAATATAACGTGCTGTTATTGGACATGAATAAACAGCTCCAGCATGTTCAGTACCTGGTTGACCTGATTCAGCTTTTGGAGCACCGACAAGAATTCTACAATTTTTTATTATTATTATTATTTGCTAAATATAAGTAAAAAAAAAGAAAGAAAAGAAAAAGAATTAATAAAATTTACTGAGAAGGTATTTATAGTTTCAGGAAAGTTATTTCCGGTAAAATCATATCAATTCAGTCAGTTTTTAAATTATATATAAAACAAATAATCTTTATTTACTATAATTTATTCCAATGTTTTTTTTTTTTTTTTTTTACAGAACTTTTAATATTTTAAAAAATGAGAAAAAATTATGAAAAGCTACGAGAAATTTGATTGCTTAATTGAAATGCTTAAAATTGATTTTTTTTTTTTTTTTTGTTATTCATTTTTCTTTACAGAATAATTTAAAAAAAAAAACTGCAATTTTTTTTTGTAATTTTTTAATTTAGATAATTCTTTAATTAATAAATTTGTATGTTCTTATTTTAATTAATTTATTAATTAATTATTTTAAAGCATTCTATATTTCATTTCCATTGTATTTCAAATGTTACTGTTATTTTTCGTGTTTAATTATTATTTCACATAATTAATGAATAATTTTTTTGACTACAAATTTAATTCATTACATTATTTTTTGCTAATTTCATCATTTTAAATTTTTTCATTGTAAATTTGTTTTTTTTTTTTTTTTTTTTAGCAAAAAATACAAATAATAATTATAGTTTTATTAAAAGAAAAGAAAGGAATATTTAGCAGAAGAAAAGTAACTAAAAGTTATTTTATCTCATTGATACATATTAATGAGATATTACAAATTAAGTTAGAATGATTAATGATAATATTTTCATTCATTCTTATTTTTCCTATTTCTTCGTTTTCTTTTTCTTCTATGTGTGTGAATGGATTAAATGAGTGTGAAAAATAATTGGAACGGGAAAAAAAGAGAAATGATAAATGAGAAGAAGCAAATGAAAGAAGAAAAAGAATTGAAATTTATTTAATGTTTTTAAAACTAATAATTAATTGTTATTAATGAAATTGGATAACAAAATATTTTACATTGTTGTAATAAAACTTTTGGCAAAGCATACATCGCACATTTAAAATATTTACTATCGATTTTATATAGCTTAACAAAAATGACAACAAGCTTATCATCAAATATTTTACAAACATGATTAGAAACTTTCAAACTTTAATATGTTAATAATTCTATTGCGATAATGGTGCTTTATTGTTGTAGATGTAGTAATAACAGTATTAATAATAATAATAATAATAATAATAATAATAATTTATTGGCATATGTCATACATCAATTTGACGTTATCCATATAATTTGCATATATATAAAGCTTTTATAGGCTTAGCATGTCAATTCGAAAGGCATTGTGATGGATGAATAAATTGCCTTAAGGCTAAAAATTTGATAATTGCTATTTTGGCAATTCAGATGAAATATACTTTGAAATATTTAAATTGTAATTGAAAATGAATTATTTGATGGAATTTCTTCATTCCTAAAAGATTACAATTTCCTCTATTCAATCAGACGGAAATATTGAATCTCAAAATTTCTTTCTTTTTCAAATTTTCAAAATGAGCAATTTTTTTTTTTTTTGATATAGACAAGAGAAGATTCATAATAATATGCATTATGCTTTTTCTTGTTCGCGTCTTTGTTCTTCATTAATGTGTAAATAATTTAAGTTTGTTGACAGTAAGTTGACATTTTTTTTATTAAAAAATTAAAGAAGGAAAAAAAAGAAAGAATTTATTAGCAAACGATTTATCAATTAATTCAAGCAATGCATGCATGCATGCATGCATGCAATCATATAAACATTCGAAAAATGATGCCATTCTTCTTTATTTTTCAATAATTTTCACTCTTTCAAAATCTCATTTGTAAGTTTTTTTTTTTTTTTTTTCTTTTTTAAAGCAAATATTTGTATAATTACAATTGTTAAAACTATAAAAGTTCGATGTTTTTTACAATTAAATAAAAATAATTTCTGATATAAAATGAATGAAATCGTAATTTTAAATATGAAAAGAGGAAAATCCATAATTCTTTATATGTGAGAAAAATCAAAATGTTGAAAATTGAAAATATTTCACATCTAAAATTAATAATTTTATGTCCTTCAAAAATACATACCATATTAGATAAAGATGAAAAGAGAAAAAAACAATTAATAAAAATTAATTGAATATTCAATTTCGATGACTTTCGATGATTTTTTAATTTATATTATATTCTAACAATAATGTGAGAAGAAAAGAAAACTTTTCCAATAATTCTGTCAACTTTTTTGATATTTTCTATTTTTTGATTTTTAATCGAATTGCATATATTATTCTGCAATTTTCATTTTCAATTTATGTTAAAATTTCATATTTCCGATAAACATTGAATGTTTGGAAGTGACCAAACATTTATAGTCTTAGTGGACAGTGATATGATAGATGCTAGACTAATCAAATCATGATAAAATATTGATGACAATTTAATTATTATTATTAAATCATACAAAATTACCATATATGACATCTAAAATATTTACTGAATTATCAATTAATTATTTTAAAAGTTTTGTTGAAATTATCTCAGAATGCAATTTATTGCTAATTTGAATCGTGAAAACTTGCAATTTTTACTGCTTGAAAATTTGAGAAATTTAAAGTCAAAAATTACTTACGCAATGATTGACTAATGAATTAGCATTTGTATAAAAATAGCTCATTTTTTTTTTTTTTTTTTGTTTTTTGTTTGAAAGGAAGAAGTGATTCTAAAAATTTGATTTAACAATATGCTTAAAATATCGCTGATGAGAATTTCTTAAAAATACTAGTATTTAAAAATTTAAATTGCTATCAATTTAAAGTAAGCCGATCCAATTTTAAGTACCCAATTTCAAAGTTTGCTTTAAAAATTAGTCACATTTGAAATTAAGATAACAAAATATAGTATTTTTTCGTTAACTTGAAAAAAAAAGAAAAGCGCTAATTCATTTTTTTTTTTCTTTCTCTTTTCACTGGAAGAAGAGAGAAATTTGAAAAACTAATACAATCTTTAGAAGTAAATTTTTCAAAACTAATTTAAATCTAAATTTAAAGACTGAATTACTTTAAGAATGTATAATGTTTGATTACTTTCGGTCACATTTTACATTACAATAGTTTGAAAAAAAAAAAAGGTAACAAAGAGAACTTCAATGACTTTTGCGCCCAACTATTCGTAACAATTATTTTAGAATAAAATTAGAACTAATAAATGAGAGCAATGCATATGAGAGTATCATCGGTAAACGATGTATGATTGTAAAAAAGAAAAAATGTCAAATAAATGAATTTCAATTCTTTTCATTCTTTATCTCTTTCTTTTCTTATACAAAGTTCAGCTAAGTTTCAAATTTAAAAGCACTTTAAAATTAATTTAAAAATTTTTAAATAATTCAAAAAATAAATGACTAACTTTAAAATACCTCTCTCTCTCTCTCTCTCCTTGTCCCTCTCTCTCTATCATAATTTTTGCATTTCCAACTCCCATTTTCAGCAGAAAAAAAAAAATTGCACAATGCTGACGACAAAATGCTGTGACAATCAAATTTAACTCATAGAAGAGTCTTTTTTTTTTTTGCTTTCATTTATCAAAAAGGAAATTCACAGTTAATACCTTTTTCAGTTATAAAAACAAAATTTGACGAATTTAAACGGATTACAAGTGGAATTTTTGTTCATATTTGAAATAATAAAATAATTTATATTTGAAAATTAGAATTGAAATACTGAAATTGAAATAATTCCATTTCACAATGTCAACATTTTATCATAATCTTATTCGTTCAAATTGCAATTTTAAATTATTTTTATTGCTATAAGGTAATTTTCTTCTTGAAATTTAAACGAATTTAATTTATTTAATTTTAATTACTGTTTAAATTGTTTTACACGAAGAATAAATGTTTTTGTATCTTTCATTTTAACATTTTTTTTTCACTCACTTACCTTCTTCGTTGAGCATTTTTTGATTCTTTTTTTTTATTTTTTCCTTTTCAAAATAATAAATTTAGACAGAAGAAGAGTGAAAGAGAGAGAGAGAGAGAGGAGAGGGAAGGAAAGAGAGAGAGAGAGAGAAAACTTACACAGGGAGATTCTCTTTGAAATGTTCCGCAACAGCAAAACCAAAATATGAATCATTTGGACCAATTTTATAGATTGGTGCATGAATATCCAAATTAAATGCTAATACCATTGCCAATGAGTAGTAATAGTAGCAAATAAGGTATGAAATAATTGTGAAATGCATTCGCGCTAATAAATTTCTATAATATTTGTTAGAATTGAAAATTTCATATTAAATTTTAGAAAATTTTCAAGTAGTTGCATTCATTCACCTCGAAAATGCATAAATGAAAGAGAAGGAAGATTATGAGTGGAAATTTTTGTGCTCATTGGTTACTTTCAATAAATTAGCAAATTGAAAATTTAAAAAGGAAAATATAAAAATAGTATTTTTTGAAGATAATAGTAGAATAAAATTAAAATAACAATCATAGTGTGATCGAAAAAAAAAAAAAAAAACATATATCATCGACAAATAAATTCAATAAAAAGTTAAAATAGTTCAAAAAAAAATTCGAATTAATGAAAAGTTATCAGTACTATGTTTTAGAATAATCTAGTATTGTTCTTTGGATAAAAACAAATGAAAAAATCATAAAAATGAAAAACAGAAAAAAATAAAATTGTAATTAAATAGCAAAATTTGCATAATGTAAATTGGAAATGAGAAAATTTTATAACAAATATTCATTAAATTTAATTTGTATCCATAAATATTCGATCAGTTTTCTGCAAAAAAGCAAAAAAAAAAAAAAAAAAAAAAAAAACAATTCGCAGCAATGAAATTGGCACTGTTTTATTACACTACCAAATCAATTATTTAATCAAATTTCATTAAATGTTTAATTTCCAACCAATTACTAAAGATAACAAACGAACTAAATACATTTTTTTCTTCAACAAATACAATGGAACTTATACAATTTGAACAAAACTAATCAAAACATTGCTTATAAGACAATAATTAGTGGTTAGTGGTCAGTGGTGAATGGTAAATGGTCAGTGGTCAATAGTCCATGATCACTTCACTGCACTGCTTGTGTCACAATTTCATTCCATTTGTCATAAAAAGTTAGGGTTAACATTCGTGAGCAAGTACTACTAGCAACGACACATACGTACATGCATACACATACATACATACACACACACGTACATACAAATGTATATATGTATACGTACTAGTGCACACACACACACACACACATACATATATGACATACACATACATACGTATACACACAAAAGTTTAGGAGAGAAATGCGAAGTGAAGCTTCGTGTTTTATTTATTTAATCGTTTGCAAACAAAAAAGTGATGAAAAAAGGGATGCGTTGTGCGTGGGTGGGTGTGGGTGGACAGAAGGAAGACATTATGCAAACAAACGTTGTTAGTGTGTGGTCAGACGACTGCTGTCTGTGTACAATTTTGATTTTGTGGTTAGGTGAAAGGGGGAAGAGGAGGGGGAAGGGGGAGGGTTTCAGCTATGGATGAGTGATTATTGCGTAAATGGTAGTTGACAAGAGGTCATTCATCTGGTAGAAACGGGAAAATGGGATATCAAAGAGAGAGGGAGATGAAAAGAGAGAGAGAGAGAGAGAGAAAGGTAATTATTGCGGTTCTGAAGGATCAGCGTTAATGGATGATACACAACGATATCATTGCATGACCAATCTGAAAGGAATGCACTTCTTCACAAACATTTTACAATTTTCATTTCTCTCTCTAACCAGAAAGGGTGCAGCTATTATTACTGGTAGAGAGAGAGAGAGAGAGGAGAAAGGAGAGAGTTTGGAAACATTGATGACCTTATCCCTCGTATTGTTTTGCTCTTGACCCTTAACATATCATTTATTCTGCTACTATTCATGTGACCACTGGTCACTGTCACAGATAACATAGTGAAATGACCACTTTAATCTCATGAATTCAACTTCTCATCCATTTATTGCATTCGATGGGAGACGAACAGATGGGTGAGAACGTTGCATGGATGATAAATAGTAACGAATGGACAGAGAGACTGACTTTTAGAGACAGAAACCTGCATATGACATTTGTGACATGTAGTAGAGAAAACATAGGGTAGGGTATCTCACAGACATATACACACATGCACACATGCACACACATACACACACACACACACACACACACACACACACACACACACACACACACACACACACACACACACACACACACACATACACAATTAATATGGAGAGTCCTCAGGGGGGACCATCTAAAATATTGGATTGCATGGCGGAGATTTGAAGATACACTTTCGAGATGGCGGACGATGACTAATGAATGTGTGTTAGAATGTAATGACTGGGAAGTGTGGTGAACGTAAGATAAACGTGATACGACGAAGTTATCACGTAACTCCGTCAATTTTAGGAGTGATGTCTGATTGATTTATTTGGTTTAATTTGTAGAATTTAGTGAAAAGTTGGGAAGTTTAGCAGTGGAGCGAAATATTATCATCACAAATCAATAATAATACAAAAAAGCTTAAACAGACTAATTGACATTTGACATTTTAATTGAGCTTATGAAAAAACAAAGGAGAAAACAAGAGAAAAAAGAATTTGCAAACGAAAGACATTTTTCTATTTGCCATGAAATTGTTATGTGTTAATGCTATTCAAGTTGAAATCTAGTAAATGAGAGTAAATTAGAATTAAATGATTGAATTGATGATTTGGCTGATAAATTAGTTATTTACATTTGTTTAAATGTTGCATCAATGTTTCATATTTACATTACTTTGATAAAGAATATTATGCAAGTAAAATTGCATACAAATAATAATAGTAATTTAATTATTAATTTCTTTTCAGTTAAGGCCCTGTTTTGTAAATTTTGCCCCACTAATAATGCATGCATCATAGCTTGCTAATAATTATATTAAAAGAATTATCAATCTAGAATTATTCGAGATATAGAAAAAATTTCTAGACATTTCCTTCAACATGAATTGAGCCAAAATTAAATTAGAATAGAACAGAACAGAATAGAATAGAATAGAATAGAATAGAATAGAAATAGAAATAGAATAGAATAGAATAGAATAGAATAGAATAGAATAGAATAGAATAGAATAGAATAGAATAGAATAGAATAGAATAGAATAGAATAGAATAGAATAGAAATAGAATAGAAATAGAAATAGAAATAGAAATAGAAATAGAATAGAATAGAATAGAATAGAATAGAATAGAATAGAATAGAATAGAATAGAATAGAATAGAACAGAATAGAATAGAATAGAATAGAAATAGAATAGAAATAGAAATAGAAATAGAAATAGAAATAGAATAGAATAGAATAGAAATAGAATAGAATAGAATAGAATAGAAATAGAAATAGAAATAGAAATAGAAATAGAAATAGAATAGAATAGAATAAAATAGAAAAAAAAAAAAAAAAAAAAAAAAAAAAAAAAAAAAAAAAAAAAAAATAGAATAGAATAGAATAGAATAGAAATAGAATAGAAATAGAAATAGAAATAGAAATAGAATAGAATAGAAAAAAATAGAATAGAAATAGAAATAGAAATAGAAATAGAATAGAAATAGAAATAGAATAGAATAGAAAATAGAATAGAATAGAATAGAAATAGAATAGAAATAGAAATAGAAATAGAAATAGAATAGAATAGAATAGAATAGAATAGAAATAGAAATAGAAATAGAAATAGAAATAGAAATAGAAATAGAATAGAATAGAATAGAATAGAATAGAAATAGAATAGAAATAGAAATAGAAATAGAATAGAAATAGAAATAGAAATAGAAATAGAAATAGAATAGAATAGAATAGAATAGAAATAGAAATAGAAATAGAAATAGAAATAGAATAGAAATAGAATAGAAATAGAAATAGAAATAGAATAGAAATAGAATAGAAATAGAATAGAATAGAAATAGAATAGAAATAGAAATAGAAATAGAAATAGAAATAGAAATAGAATAGAAATAGAAATAGAAATAGAATAGAATAGAATAGAAATAGAATAGAAATAGAATAGAATAGAAATAGAATAGAATAGAATAGAATAGAAATAGAATAGAAATAGAAATAGAAATAGAATAGAAATAGAATAGAAATAGAAATAGAATAGAAATAGAAATAGAAATAGAATAGAAATAGAATAGAATAGAAATAGAATAGAAATAGAAATAGAAATAGAATAGAATAGAATAGAATAGAATAGAAATAGAATAGAATAGAATAGAATAGAATAGAATAGAATAGAAATAGAAATAGAAATAGAATAGAATAGAATAGAAATAGAAATAGAAATAGAAATAGAAATAGAAATAGAATAGAATAGAATAGAAATAGAATAGAATGAAAAAAGTAAGAAAAAAGTTAGAATAGTATAGCATAAAATACAATTGTATAATTTGTATGAATGGAATTAGCCGAAGAAGTATAAATGCTATTAAATATGATAAATGCATAAGCTTTTCTGTTAAAATAAAATAATTTCTCTCGCACAATCGATTTTCATTCATTGATATATCGAATAGATAAGAGATGGGTTCAGTTCCTAGTTGTTACTGTTATTGTTATTGTTGCTGTATTTGCTATTGTTGCTATTGTTATTGTTGTTGCTATCGTTAAAGTTTGTTAAAACTATAAGCAGTAAAAATAATACTTGGAGAAAATTAAAGAACAAATACTGCATTTCATCTGTTATCATTTCTCATAAATGATTATATCATTTATCATCTTTTAATCTACTGTCATCTCTCATAAGTGATATCCTCTCTTCTAATCCATTTTATTCTTACTTTTTACCAAATTAATATTATCAAAGTATTGATTCTGTCCAATCGTTACATTTCTTTTCTTTTTTTTTCTCTTTTTTATAATTATTCATTAATTAATCATACCACAAAGGTTAGATTCATTAATTAAAATTAAAATGAAATTAAATTTTCATGGAATGTAATCATCAAATAAAGCATAACTATCAAATATAGCATTGAATAGAATAAAGAATAGAAATAGGAATAGAATAGGAAAGAATAGAAATAGAATAGAATAGAAAAGAATAGAAATAGAATAGAATAGAAATAGAATAGAATGAAGCCATATGTGCTAACAAACAGAATTGA